AGTCTTGGTTAATCATAGGTCTTGGGCGTTTTTGAAGATATCGGAAAACTGTTCAATAGATTGTACAATTATGAGGAATTGGCAGAAAACTGGTGGAAATTTGATACATCATTGATGCAGTTTTTCTTAATTTAATGGTGAAGCTAACTAAGCTGTAGAATCTATGACGCCGAAACAAATAACCACGGCGAACTTTTTATGCAAACATTCTTTCGAGAGGTCAATTGATGGTTGTAATCAATTTTAGTTTTGTGCGAATATTAATAATTGCCTTTCGAAAGTTTTCAAGTTTTTGAAAAATATTAAGCCTGGTTTCCATATAGCCGTAAGGCTGCCTGCGGCTGCCTGCGACTGCTTTCTGCCATCTTCCATCATCCATCCCTACGGTATCGCCGGCAGATAATTCTTTATGGAAACGCTTTTTAACGGTACCGCAGGCAGCTGTTTGAAGTGCCGTAAGACTGCCGGGAGAGCCGGGAGAAAGTTGAACGAGTTCAACTTTTCCCGGCTCTTACGGCAGCCTCCCGGTACCGCCGGCAGACAAATTACAAATGGAAACGCCTTGCCTGCGGCTGCCTGCGGCATTCTTTTGTTCAAACGGATCATGTGATGTGCAAGAACCAATTGAAACAGGGCTTTGTTGTTGAATTTTGCCCGCCAGTTTTTCCCGCTCAAACTTTACCTAGTTACCGGCATAGTTACCGATACCGCAGGCAATTGAAAACAGAACGTTTCCATTTGCCGGCGCTACTGTAAGAGTGGAAGATGGAAGATGGCAGAAAGCAGTCGCAGGCAGTCGCAGGCAGCCTTACGGTTATATGGAAACCAGGCTTTACTCGAAGCAAGGGCGTACCGGGAAAGTTTTCACCAACAAAAAGTCCAAAAACAGAAGAGAAGAAAGTGCAAGTGGAGTTAACCCTGAGTACAGAGAAAAACATGTTTTCCTTGCAAGATAAGGGAGCTTTTTGATGAAGTAATTGCTGATCAGCAAGCAGCATCCCAGCAAGTTAAAGAAAATCAAACAGCAGAAATGGAAAAAGCTGAAGAAATGAGAAGGAAATCAGTAGAAAGCAGGAAGAGAAAGGGAGGGGAGGTAAAAAATGTGAAAAGAAACGTAACGTTCGGCAGAAAACCCTTTCAAAATTATTCAAGAAAAAATCAGTGGAAATTATGGGGGTATGGGTGGGCTCGGGCCCCCCAAATTAGCGATCTCGTCGGAAAATTTGGGCTTTCGTCGGATATTTGACAACCGTTCAACATGTCGAAATTACTCCGAGAAAACATTCTGAAAAGGAATTTTGAGCTAATCTAAGGGGCGTGTTTGCCAAATTTTGATCCGCATTTTCCCTTTCTACCCCGGGGGCCTCTGCAACAACTCTTGTGCGCTTTTTGCAAAATTTTAACATAGCTGATAAAATATTAGCCAGTAGTAAATAATCAAACAAACAATATATGACAAAAATCAAAACTGCTTTCGAAATGCATGTTTAATTTCATTTCCGTATAGATTAGCCGAACTTTCCATCTTGGAGTCTTCCAAACAAAAGTTATTTTCAAACGTATTCCCCACTGAAGCAAGATAAAATGCAGAAAATGAAAGTTACAATTACAATCATGTTGCTATCATAAACAACTTGTCAAAAGAGTAATCATCGACTTCTTGTATCATAAATTGCCTGATGAGATATCGAATGTAACGATCAAGAGTTCTTCTTATGATAGTGAATAACCGGTGTATAACTAGCCCGTTGGTGGAGCGATGGGCTAGGCCAAAGGGCCTAAGCCCCGAACAAGTAACGCACAAAAGATACTCCTTCCTTGATCTTAACTCTAATGATTCACCACAAAGACTATCGTGATCAATTGTAGTTTTCTTAAAGGACAAGTGACACGCTTTTGGAGCCAATTTTTTTCTTCTTTTAACTTAAAGTAAAATGCTGTATGAAAGTGTTGTTGAAATATTTTTCCTTTCTGATTTCATTTTCCTACTTAAAAACCCTTTTCAAATTATGGCGGGAAATGAATCACGTGACATCGTGACCTAGATTGTGATAATTTGTTATTGCTGCTACTGGTATACAGTGCAATATTAACGTTTACAACACGCTTCTGAAGGAATTCAGTTCGTCTGGACCTGTCGCGTCGTGTTTCGTAAACTCTCTATTAATGACAGGAAAATTCCGAGTTATCACAATGTACGTCATAGGGTCACGTGATAAAAAGCAAAATCGCGCCCCCTGCACCCCTTAATAAAATTGTTTGTTCTAAACCAGGAAAAACTTACTTCTAAATGATGATCTATAAGTTAATGGAAAGAAAAGATAGGGTGAAAAGTGTGTCACTTGTCCTTTAATGTATTATCAGTCATTCTATCAGTTCAATTTGCGTAGACAGAATATGCTCAATGCATTCTAAAGAACAGGTTATGTCGCGCAGCATTTTCCCACACTTTTTCTTTAGAAATTTTGTAGATTTTCTATCAGTTTTGTTGATTTTCTTAATTACTTAGAAGTGGCGACACAGGGGGGGAGGGGGCCTAAAAATCTTAAAATTATAGGCGATATCATTTATGTATGACCCTGTCATGAATGTCAAATGTCTTGTCTACACTATACTATCGAACCTTGTTTCAGCGTGGGTAGGGGCTAGAGTGAACCCAAGTAATATTTTATGTAGTGCGAACACAAAGTTACCTAGCCAAAATGATCTGGGCTGACTCGGCCCGAGTGCTGGTTTCTATAAAAAAATTATTGAACATAACATGCACCTAGCAGCATACCCTTCCCTCTACAACGCGCATAATTGCTTGATGACACTTAGCTGCACCCAAGTTTCCTTTGAAAGATTATTCAGCGCTACTGATAATTTCAAAAGAAGAGAAAACTTTCCACTTGATTACGAGCAGGTCATTGGCCAATTTGCTGATTCATTTGCACTTCTTCGAAAAGAGTTAAAACTTTGAGAATTTAAATAAATTTTTATCTTGATTCTTAACTCTAAATGGGATTTTAAAGCCTTTTTACACAAGATGAAAAGGTATGTATCCAATTGGGTCCAAATTTACGAATTAAAGTCGATGTACTGCTGCTGTTTAGCGTACTGCTTTATTATCAATTTTTATTGAATCAATCGAATTCTAAGCCACAATTTTAGTGGGTGTGGCTAAATTTTTCCCGCCACGCCTCTAAACCGGGCCCTTGAGTTTTCTAGCCACCCTGCAATTTTGACGCCAGACCGCCCCTGGCTAGAAATATTCTGAAATATATTTCAAGCTAATCTAAAGGGTGTGGTCACAAAATTTTCTACTCGCTCCGCTCGCAGGAAAGCTTCTTCTTTCAGATAACCCAAGGGCCTCCGACAACCTGGGCTTTCTTGTATTGCATGGCCAAAAAGACCCAATGTCACTACCACCATCAAATGGGGGCCTGCTTCTCTTCTTTTGTATGAAACACAATACACTACAATAATTGGAGTGAATACCATTTCTATCTTTGTTTTATATCTGGATAAGAATTTTTTTGGTTAGGGTATCCATAAAGCTAGCCAGGGATAGTTTTGAAAGATTAGTAGCAGCTACAGATTTGTATTATATAGACAAACCTCATATTACATTAAAAATATATAATATACAGTAAGGCTGTGTTTCGGACAATTCTTAGAACATTGAAATATGTAACAAGCTTAGAGATCAAGTCTCTAAAAACAATATTTTATGAAAATAAACAGCTAGAAACAGTTGATTTGCCTTTTAAGGTTCAATCAATAACTTACAAATACAGTAATTGCATTCTACACCATTTCCCCCATTCACAAAGAACTACTATATTGACTTCATAGGGTGGAAATGAAGAAAAAAATTCCCTGTTATCAGGTTTGCTACTCTGTTTTCTTTTGGCCAGGTTTGATATGTTCTGGTATGATTTATACATAATCAGTGGTAGCTGTAGTTAGGCCAAATTACACTGAAAATAGCCCTGAAAACAATGTAAAAGTTCTTGGTCTATTCAAAAGAGGTCCAGTCAGAACTTAGCCACACCCTCAACCACACCATATTTGGCCCCGAAAATCTGCGTTTTACAGTGTTTTGTGCAGTGATGAAAATTCCTTAAATTAATGCCTGGTTTTACAAAATGCGAAGCAAAGACTGAGTTGGAACAGAAAAGGAAGATAAAAAACTACCTAATGGAATGGAAAGTTTTTTGTTTACTTGAGGGTTCAACTCAGTGCCTAATTTAGTGTGGTCTTGTACACTAATAGTGGTTTTGAAAATCCAAATTGTGGTCTTGAAATCAGGAATTAGTGGGAGGATTGTCTCTCTATGCGTTATGTTTATTAAAAAATCTTAAAAGTAAATGTAAATTTCATTCCTCCATGAGGTGTTTTTTCACATCATATTCTAATCATTTTATGTCTCAGAAATGCATTTTTAGCCAATCTAGGGCATTCAGTTTTAAAAATTTTCTGGGCCCCTCCCAGAAGGGCCTAAACATATTTAGGCATAATTAGTGGTATTGTAAAAGTCCCTTAAATTAGGCACTGGAGTGGTTCAACTCTAGGGACATACTCAGACAAAGCTAGAAAATTGGAAAGATGGGGACTTAAGAAGGTTTTCATGATTCAAAAGCATTAAGAAATCCTCAAAGGCATTCCATTTAAATGACGGATGGGAGCAACTCCATTTTATACTCTCCTTTGAGTTTGTCACTTTCAACCAGCTATAAACTTGAAAGTGAAGTTAAACAAATTTTGAACAAATGTTGCAGGGGGTCTTTCTAAAAAATATATGGTGTCAGGGTCGCCACAAGAAGAGTGTTCAGGTCCCATTTCCTGACAAAGTGACTAAGGCTTCTTTTATTTGTCAACCGAGCTGAAGAAAGAGGTATCGTTTTCTTGTTTCCCTTAGTCCGTAGCGGTTTCCGTTCCAGGTATCTTTTATTTGCCAATATTTCTGGCAAACAAAGACCAATGTTTTCATACTAGCCAGTTACGCAGTACGCAAACAAAGAAAATGTGGATATCCACAAAAATAGCACCTTTCACCGTTTGCACGGCGTTAAACTTTTGTGGTTCTACTGACATTTTCCCGGTTGGACTTCACTTTTAACAGCAGGTTCTGTGCAAAAGTATAAATACTGAACTGTTACTTCCTGATCGATGTTTCACAACTTGCAGCAGAGATATACAGGATCAAGAGAAGAAACAAAGGGTAAGGCAAAAACACAAGCAAGTACGCTTAATTTGTTTTATATACATGTGGATAAATTATTCTGGAGCAGCGGGAGCTGGAAAACTTCAAAAATGTTTATTTTATTAATCGCGCAGATTTATAATTGAACGCACCAAAAAGACCCCTTTGATAGAGGATCTCTTTGATTCGCCCATCCTTATAAAAAGATAAATATTATTTTTCTGTTTAATAAAAAACTGCGCAGGGTGTGCGCGGGCCACAAAGCCCTCCCCCCTCCCCAATGAATGGGTGCCTTTGCCAAAGTGTCGAGTCCCATTCGATTTCCTCCCTCTGTTGTTGCTTTTCAACCCCAGACTAGAGACTAGGACTACCTTCTGAATGTTTGTTTCTTTTTTGAAAAAAACGTCACAGTTTTTCGCAAGGGTTTTATTTCCAATAATGCTGAACGGGAAAGAAGGAAATTAAGAAAAAATGTAACCCATATGTGTATTCGGGTGTTTTGTAATGCTAGTGCTTTTAAAGCTGTTACTGTTTTTTTTGTAAGAAATCCTAGGTTCACGTTAATATATTCTTTCCTTGCTTTAATACTCGATACCAACATTGTTTCACGTTTTTAACAAGAAAGTGGTTTATAAGGCCTTATAAGAATGAAGAACCCTTTCCTTGCAAAACGAAAAGTCAGGTGCGGTTAATGGCCCCGGGTGGCAGGTGAAGGGGCCTTTTTCGAACAAAGTAGGTTTTAAGAAATATGTACGTGTTTCTAATGAGTGCCTAATAAATTTTATATCTCTCTTTCACCCGTGGAAATGATCTACTGTAAGTTCCAGTCAGCGAATATTAAGTAAAAAATTAAATAAAAGTTGTATAACTGGTATATGTCATTAAATATTCAAATAATATGTTGGGTGAAAAATTTGTAGGGCGTCACTGGAGGCGCTAAATCACACCTCTTCTAGCCAGACCAAACATGTAAAACATAACAGTAACATCAGGATGCGCGTGACACAAAGAATGACTATGAATATCATAATGTCTTTCGTGAGACGATTCCAAACATCCTGGTTACATAACATCATCCCTTACTTACCCCTGTCTTTGCATCTATAGGGGACTTATTGTGTCGTGACCTCAGTCACAAACTTTGGTCATATAAGCAGTACGCGAGTTATCGTGAACTGGTGCTGCGTGCTCTTCGCATTTTGCAATCTCTCAAAATAACTTTATCAAATGCCCTTCCGAATATTAAAAGCAATAGTTTAATGGTTTTCGGACGAGTACAGTGCAATTAAGTACGTAAAATCCTCGATCAGCCCCCTAAGGGAACTTACTTATTTAAGATTATTTTTGTGATGGGGGCTAATCGAGGGGGGGGGGGCGGGTTTACCGGAAGGGGGCTTTATAAAATTTATCAATAGACAATAGACATTAAGGCATTGAAGTCATGATGAGAAATGTGATTGGGATATGATCCCAGGGCGGCGCGAGTAGGCGTCGCAACGGTGAAGAGTTAATTCAAAAATCTGGCCGAGGGCAAAGCGAGGCGAATGCCTCCAGGGGGCCCGGCGGGGGTTGGAGCCCACTCGGAAAAATTTTCAGGACATGATCGCACCTTAGATCGAAGAAAACCACTCTGAAGAATGAGTGAAGGAATCGTAATGCTTGATGTTAATCTAATCTGGTGTTTCAGTGCAAATTTTCGTGAAAACAAAATTTTCCTCTTGCTTTGTCTATTTGTTGCGGATTAAGTATAAACAAACTCATTTATCCAGTGTGCAGTTTACTAGGAAAACTCGATTTATGCGTATCTTGATGTGGCAGTTTTTGTGATGTGCCCTGATGACAACCTATATCTTGTGCCTTGCCGTCATCTAGATGCACTGAAGGTCAAACATCGATTATAACCTACGCTGGTGTACCGTTGGGGATAGAATTTGGTTTTGGGATGTGCTTGAATGACTTGTCCATTTTGGTACCTCTGGTTCGAAGTAGGAACCATGAAAGTCTGATTAAGGTAGTAATAAGGGCGGCGCTATTCGGTGCTAAAATGTGTAAACATCACATAAAGAATCATCATTAAACATTCAACCTATTTAAGTTCGATCTTGATTATTTACATAATGTCTGAGTTCCCATTCTGTGCTTACAACCACAGAATACTCCGCCGCACAACACAACAACCAAATGCCTTGAGGTTCTGTTTCGGAGATGCAGTTAACGGCTGACAGTTCATGCCACGGGTTTTGAGCCTGTAAACGATTCTGGAATAACAGACCTATTCAAATCGGCCAAAAGCCCATTTTCGTGAGCCGTAAAAAGGGCAAGGTAATCAAAAGTGGATTTGCTTACCTTGAAAGGATTGACCAGGAATCACTACGTAGAGATTTCATGCAGACTTATTTGTCCAGGATAAACGATTCTGCACATTTTCTGGACAATAATTTTCCATGAGAACACTTATTAGTAGTTTTTGAAAAGTTTTTTAAATTTACTAAAAGCCTCTTTAAATTGTTTAATCTTTAATTTTTTATCAAAATATGAAAAAAAAACTTTCCTATTTGGCAAATATTCCTGAAATAAATTATTTAATTTTAAGCGCACCGTTGATAAACCACCCATCACAAAGAGACCAGCGATAAAAAATGTTCCTTCCTTCTTTATTGTTACATCCACATATCCAGGAATAAACACATAGACAGACTCACTGGTTCATCCTTTTTATTTTATTCTGGGGCATGGCTAACCATCCTTTTTTAATTACAAACGCTGTTCATGATTTTCTTGCTCAGAATGTAGTGAAATACCCCAGTGATAGTCGTTTGTAAGCACTCTACTAATCATGAAGGATGGGGAACTGCTCTCGAGGTAATGAAACTGCGGAATGATTACGTTGCTGCGTGGCGCTCTTTGTTCAAAAGCCATCAGCACAATAAGACCTACGTCACAGAAACAACGAAAAGGTCATCAAACAGGGATCTGATTACCTTGCAGCTTCGCGGCCCTCGCGGTTCTCGTAGTTCTGGCGGTCGTTTGAGCAATAGAACAAAAAGAACATGCGTCAGAGGATTAAGAAATAATTATCGCCTGCCACGAAACAAAAGCCAAAACAAATGAAGATCTAAATGTCAACACGCCGTAAAACAGCCCCTGGACGAGCTTGTCCTTATGGATTTCGATTCACAACAGGTTCAATCAAGACCTATAACATTCATTGTGGTCGTAATACTTCAGTTTAGGTTTAAGCATAATTTTCTCAAGTTCTGGAAAAAAAAGGTAATCAGCGATTACCTTGATTACCCCTAAGCGCCGCCCCTGGGTATACCCTAAGTGCCAAAATCCACTGAGTCGTGATTTTCATGAATGCCATGCTATTGGTTGACCTGGAACTGGTCACATGAACTCACCTCGTACTGATTGACAAAACAATTTCCATCAATAGAAAGTTGTCAACAACGGATGCAAGTATCACATGAAACACCAGCGATCACGCCGAAACCAAATGACCCCCTATAGAGAGGGCCTATTTACCATGACTCAATGCCTTTAAGAAAACATTATTAAAAGACCTTGTTTATTCTAGTAGAAATTTCTTTATGAGCATTTAATTAATTACTACCAAAAGCATGAATTTGTTGTGGTAATTCAATAAAACGCCAAAGGCAACCTCAGATGGCAAAAATCATCAAATTGAGGGGTCCAAATTGAGGGGTCCAAAAACATCAAATTGAGAATTTACGGTAGCAGTGGGGGCTTATTCGAGGGAGAACTTATTGACAATTTGTAGTTCTAGGGTGGGGGCTTATTCGAGGGGGGGGGGCTTTTTCGAGGGGGGCCAATTCGAGGATTTACGGTACACGCTCATAAAACAGAGCTTTTCGCGAAAATCCTCAAGTTATATCCACAACATTTTTTGTCACTTAATCATGCCAGTCAATGATGATACTTTTCCACAGTTAAGAAAATCAAAATTAATAAAAAACACTGTTAAACATTTTATAAAGACGGCACATTGTCATTAGAAGTGCAAACGAAACAACTAGGACGTTTAACTGATTCACACAAAGTACAAAATGGGCAAAAACTGTATCACAAATACTACCAGCACATTAATTAACTGATAACTTGTTTTCAAAAGAAAGTAAGCCTACGGCTGTTACTTCTATTCTCTGTTCTTTTTCATCCTCACATTTGCCAAAAATGGATCAAAGAATTGGAATCTTTATTTTGAAACTAGTCTGTGCCGCAAATTTTATGCTTTTTGGGCTATCAGGCCACGAATAACCTCGTTTTCAAAATTTAGCTTTTCCTATACATTTCATTGGAATTTGGGTCCTAAAAGTCTAAACGACATGAATTTTCCGGTATAAGTCAATTTCAAGAGGACGATTTCAAATCTGAACTTTTCGAGAAAGTGAGATGCAAAATCGATGATATCAACCCGGAACGGAGAATTCCACACCCTCATCTGTGCCTTTACGGCTTGAGAGTGCCGTTACGGCTTGCATAAAGTAACATCCTGAGGGATGATAAAAGTACTGAATTTACGGAATTGCTTGCGGTGGGAATAACTTGCTGGAGCACAAGTTTACACTAACAATAATGTTTCTTCTTCTATTTTTCCCGTCATGCTCTTGTCTATAAGAACAATACTATAAAAACACAAGCCTTAAAATTGGCCAAAGATTAAAAAAATACGAAGACAGCTTAAGCTAAAAAAAAAGTAAAATAATTGATGGCAAATGGTGTCAAATTATTTAAGTGATGCTCATATTTCTCTCTCTCCTAGCAATATGGGACAGTCGTTGATGATACGGCCATGGCTGTTGCTGTGTTTCGCAGCGTTCTGTTTCACTGTTGAGGTTGATTTTTCAGGAAGACCAACAGTACCTCAAGAGGAAGAGGGTACATTTTTTTTAAATTGGAAGTAATTGTGTTCATTTTGCGTAAGATCACGCAGGAATGATTTTTAAGACATTCAAACAGAGTCTTTTTTCAGAGACATTCAAACAGAGACATTCAAACTGAGTCAGAAGCTATCCTATACTTTATTCTTGCCCTTTTGCAAAACATAAATTTTCTTGTAATTTTGTATCCACCAATAAGCTTTTACAAGACTAAAGGAAAAACCTAGTTTGTTAATCGGAATAAATGTTTTGCTTAAAAGATTTACTTCACTCCCCAGGACGACTTTTTAGCACAGTGGCTTATTTGAAACATTTTCCCTGACACATTTCCTCCTCCATTCCCTCCAAAATTATCGTTGTATCCTGGCTACGTTAATTATACATTCTGTCATGCAGGCTGTAATGGCCCTGTATATACGCTGTTTTTATAGACGTACTTCTATTGCAGAAGTCAATCCATTCGATGTCATATCGAAGCAAAAAAAGGATGACATCTTGCCAGCATCAGGGAGATCAGGTAATGCCAATTTCTCGGTGAAATTTTTCGCTCTCCTCTGGAAACTAAATATCAATAATTTAGTCCGGGTCCTATTGTTCAGAATGTGAATCCTGATCTCACATTGTGTTGATTCTTCCATTTCACGAGTCTGACTCAGTTTTTTCGTAGAATTCAAAAATCCATGTCTCCAGGCCAAGTTCTTAATGACGTCAGCATGATGTCATAGGTATTTAGTGTGATTTTATTTACTGAAGGTTTCTCCAAAAAAATAAAAGGCAAATCATTTTTTTGAAAACTATGATGCAATCTAAGCTGTAAAAATTATGTATATACATTATGAAGATTTCAAGCAGAAAAGTTTCAATTTCTTTGGTAATGTGACGTCACAGTGACGTCAGATAGAAAGGAAAGTTAAAATTATGAACTCTGAATGACAAACAAACGCTGACAATTATAAATTAAGAACAAGAACTCAGTAGGCACTAGTTTAATCGTCAATTATGTCTCTTCGTCATCTTGATATTGCATTTCAGGCCCTGTTCACACGGGAACGCAATCGTTCCGTTCCATTTTTGTTCCAGTTTCTGGAACGGAAAATTATACTGTTCACACGGTAACGGAACGATTGCGTATCGATTTTTGTTTATGTTCAGACGGGAACGCAATTGCTCCGTTCTGCAATTTGCGCCCCAAAATAAGCAAATAATTTTTAATACGCATGTCCATAATGGAGATAGATTTCATAATTTCGATTTATCTCTGAGCTATCTCTGAATTTTTTAAACAATTTTAATTAATGGAGAATACAAAAGCGCCCTAACATAGGCAAGCTCGTGGGATAAATGGACTGACGACGAGATTCAGCTGCTTCTCGAGGTGATGAAAGACTACCAGTCCACCCAAGCCCAAAGTAACTACAACTACCACAACACAGACGCATGCGCCAACTGCAAAACTCTTATCGTTTCATTTTCTGGACCAGTTCTGCGCGTTCACACGGGAACGGAACGGAACGATTGCGTACCGTTCCATCTTTCGTATCACTTATTTTATCGTTCCACTTTTTGGAACGGAACGATGTCATTTGAAGCGTTCCCGTGTGAACACAACCCCTGAGCGTTACGCTTTTCGGAACGGAGAAGAACGGAACGGAACGATTGCGTTCCCGTGTGAACGGGGCCTCAGTGCTAAAATCTGTATTCTTGCAATCAGTGACCAACTCTAATATTTTTTGTGCTATTAGGCTTTATCCGTCTTTAGCAATGTATGAGTCTGCTTCGTTATCCTTTTGCCAACCAAACTATTCAATGTTCGGCAAAGTTTGACTTGCTTGATGGGAACTATTCCATACGGCAGCAACATAATTGGCTCTTCTTACGTGCTCATGGTGGGCAGAAGAAGTGGGTGGAAGCATCTCGCAAGCATCAGGTGATCTCAGTGGCGGCTCCAGCCTGGAATAAGTGGGGGGGGACAAAAGGTGTGTCAGGGGACCACGCCCTTTTGGACAAGTCCCTTTCCCCCTGTTTGATACTGTTGTCTCCCAAAAAATGTCATTTACATGTGACGATCTAGATAACGTACATACCCCCCCTGAAGTTTTCTCATCAGGTTTGCAAGAATCTCAAGGACCACCTTTCTGAAAAAGTGGGAGGGGGAGACTAGCCCCTCCATTCCCCCCGTGGCTCCGCCACTGGGTGATCAGCAAAAGAGACTCCATCTGGCTTTAGCAAGGCTGTCAACTCTTGCTTTTGCACCACAGAAAACCTTGCATGCAGATTTCTCAAACACACGTAAGTTATTCTCATTTAAGTCATCACGGTCAAGAGCAGTAAACACAGCGGTGGAATCATCTTCGGCATCCACCAATAGTTTCCACCAAGATGCTTTCCCTTTCCCACGATATTTTCCTGTCACATCACGACCAGTATATGCGTGAAATTCTGTCAGGGCTATTAAGTGAAATGGCACTTTGAATATCTTGTACTTGAACAAATTCGTTAGCTGCAAGACAAATATATGTTCTTTCGGAAAGGGCAGGCGCGCAAGCACATAAAATGACCTGCACGTTGGTATTAGAAAAAAAACTACTACTTGCATGCCAGGATTTACTTCAATCTTAGTTAAATACGTTAGCAAGCCTTTCTTCATTTGTTCGTGTGAAAGAATTTTCATGAGAGGAATTTGAATCTTGGTGCTGTTGCAATCTTATAAATAGTAGGAGCGATCTTTCCCCGTCGATGGCTTTTTGTCATTTCTTTCAGAGAATGCTCCTTATACATATCAAAGACCAACCGAACTTCCACGTTGTTCCCTCGCTTTTGCATAACCTTTCTCATGAAAGCATCAGCAAGATCTTTGAAATTGCTTTTTTCTGATGAAGATGTGTTGATAATTTGCAGAATCGCCATTGCATCAATTATTGCACGTTGAAGGGTTTCTTATTGAAGCTCGCTGTAAAGGTGCCCAGATCTTTTTTTGGATTTGGTGAAAGTCTTTCTCCAAGAAACGCCTTTTAAGATCTTCGCCAATTTCTTCACATTTCAGTAGCCTCTCGTGATAAACTTCAGGAAGAGAAACGTTTGTTACAATATTTTAGAGACTTCCCTCTTCTTTATCCTCCAGGAATGTCACCTTCTCATTCAAATATGTGTGCAGTTTGAGGACGAGTTGATTTTGTCTGCGGGTAGAATGCTAGGTATCTTCGTGATGCCTTTTACTTTTCTGTGTTGCACTTAATAAATCTCTTTAAGATCTTCGAAAATTATCATTTAGCAAGAATTGGAGCTGTTAGGAAAACCTCATTCTTGCATTTTAGTTGTTTGATGTCCCGACAACTCTCCCCTCGATCTTTAAAATCTTGTTGACCTGCTCTCCCGCATAATCACAGCCGATGGCAGTGTGGAGGATTCGGTTTTTTCTGAACGCAGAAATTGCCACTCATGAACCCTTCGCAGATTGATGGCTCTTTTTCTCTAAGAAAAGCATGTTAACAATATACACGGGCCACAATCGACAATACATAATCTTATTCATTGACCAAAAATCTTTGCATAGGTCTTTGCCACTTTCCAAGTGAAGTAACCAGTTTTTATTCCTTGTACCATAAACAAAGGCTAGCAGCCGTTCAACTATTCTTACATAGATCACGAAAAGCTGGAGCGTGGACCGTAGTGTCCTTGTTGCAAATCCTGAATGACAACTGCCGTGGCAACCCTCTCTACAAAATTATGAATATCAAAATCCAACTGGCATTGACAAAGAATCTCTCTTTCAATGAAAACAACAGAGCTCAATTAAAAAACGAGGTCACAAATCTTGAATAGAAGAAGTCATTTTTGTGATGGATGATGAAGCTTCCAGGCATGATTCATTTAGTGAATCATTCATCATATTCTTTATTTCACTCATTCGGAGGAATGATTCAGTGAATATTTTCACCATATACTAACTTGTAGGGAAAAAATCAACATTATCGGATTTATCAGAAACGTCATGGCGTCATTACAATTGATTCATATAATATTTTCACCCAGGGTTGCCTGTTAGGGTATAAATTAAAATAAATTTAGGACGTTTTTGGCAAAAAATATTGTTATGACGTCACCATGACGTCATTAAGAAACGGAAATGCTCTGGAGACATCGATTTTTGAAAAGAAAAGGTAATTTTACCCTAGGTAAGCTGCTAAGAATACAATTAACACGCAGCGAGAACGGATTTACAATAGGATCCCAGAAAATGGTAGCTTTATATATGTCGTATTTTTCTCTTTTTTGCTTTATTGATAGGAACGTTCAAACTAAGACAGTTGCTAGTCATTGGATGCCCCGTCGAATTTGCCAAGTAACTGCATTTTGAGTAGAAATAAATGAGAGTCTGACAATATTGGGGAAACCGACGGGGGTTGAATAGAATGTAAGGGGTTAAGCCAATCCTAAGGATGATAAGTTTCAAGATTAGACTCAACCGATCATTTCGCTAAAAGAAATAAATATTGTTTAAATTTGCGATCTTTATCATCTTAAAATCGTAAAAATAATGCACCATGTGAATCATAACAAAGAAACACTAAAAAAGTCCCAAAACTATAGTTTAGAAATGTATATATTATGACAAACGAGCAGTCATATAAATATGACACAAGACAAAAACTAAACTACTAAATAGTCAAAGGGGCGCAACTATTCTTTGCAAAAAACCGGAGAAAGACAGTCTGTTCCAGAAATTAACACGTTTGCTACGCAAGCATATATTAGCCTGTGCCCCAGTCCACGAATGCTGCCACATTTATATTGATAAATATCCTGTCCGCAGTTTCCACCAGAATCTGGTGGTAATTTATGCAACCCTCCAAAATTATGCAATTTGTTGAAATTGTCAACGGTTCAAACCTCGCAAGACTTTCAACTCATCATGCACCATCTTATCTGTCCTGTTTTGTTTTCAGTGAATATTTCTTTAAAGAATTTGTGTAAAATTTCAATGGTACGAATGAGTTTAAACCCATGATTATTAGTCATTGCACATCATAGCTATATCATAGGTCATGAAGTAAGTATGCCTTCTTTTCAAAATATTTATTTGTATTCTATCGCAGTATATTGTTGAATTATACACAAAGTACATATTAATCATTTTTTTCAAAAGTGGAGTCAAAAACGGTTTATCAAGGCGACATTGTGCTGAATGATGACGAAAACGCTGCCCTTGGGTTGGGTCGATCAGCCAGTCAGAATATTATTGTACTCACATGGCCAAGAAAACTATGGAGAACACGAACAGTTCCTTATTTGTTATCTGGTCATTCCTATAGCGACGTGCGTAAGTTGAGAGTAGTTTTGTTTCTATCAAACTTTGTTTGTTGGGTTTTAACAGCAATTACATTATGTCAGGGCCGTCACTAGATGATGCTAAAGAGTAGTGTATAGGTCTCATTTGCCGTTAACATGGGTACAAGGTGGGTGAGCTTGATTTGCCGAAGAATGGTGGCAGGGAACTCGTTTGCTTGAAGCAGGGCTTTTGCCCTGGGTGACCTTTTTTATTTGAATTCTGAATATCTGGATTCTTGGAATTTCCATTTTTCATCACTCCAAGCAATCTAAGCTTCAAGTTTAAATGCAAGTCAATTCACAAAGCTTTTAATAAAAGGACAAAAAGCAATGAAATTCTCTAGAAGGCCAGCGACGTTTAGGAATATGTTGGAAGTTCTAATAATTGGAAGTAGAAGACAACACATTCAGGTCAAATTTATGTCTATCCATAACGTTCCTGAATGGCCCAAAAATTCACTGGAAACATAAGAAAACAATCGATATCCCAATAAAACATGGTCGTGGTACCTTGCTATGACCATAAACTGGAACAAATTGGGCTTCTTGTGGACAAACCGCTTGATGAAAAACCCGATCTTGGATATATTTCCTGGATAACCTTATCAAACCACCGATGTACATCTTTTTTGTTTCTAACGTTTTTCCTGGATTAATTCAACAAAATACTCTGATTTTCCATATTTTATCATGTTTGTGTAAATGCTTTACACAAAATTGTAAATCTATGAGGATTTCAACGTTCTTTGCAATTTTTATATATTTGGCTTCAATTCTTAAGAGCGTTACTTTAACTTTGCGTCGTCCGGTCTCTGGTCGAAGGCTACACCTTAATCATTTATTGACTCCAAACTCAGTTGTGTTTTTATTCACCGCCAATGATTTATCCATCATTATCTTGACAAGACAGGTGTTACAAAAACTACGTATTTTGCATTTTATCTTTTTTTATTTAGAAAAAATTGAAGCTGCAATGAGAGATTTGGAAAACAGGGTTTGCCTGAAATTCAGAAAATACAAATCAGGAGATAAAGCTTGGCTCTACATTCACAAAGGGACATCGTGAGATTTCTTAATTTGTTGTTGTTGTTTTTTCATTATTATTAAACGAGTCATCACCAGTCTCGCTCACCTTTCATAAAGTTAAAACATTTCCAAGCTCCGTACATCTTACAATTCTTTACGCTCCTAAGTGAGAAAACTTAAGTGAGAAACCTTATATGAGAAACAAGCATAAGCAGCAACAATCACTACTATAAGGTGTATGTGCATTTACATTGCAAAAACATGGAAACGATGCAAAATATGAAGTGTCACGATAGACAGCGGTCTAAGCCGATAGATTTCAAAAACTAATTTCAGGTGTCAGGTGTTTTGCTGACGATCGGTCCAAAACCAAAGCAAAACAGAATTTGGGTCCCTTCAAGCGAAACGTTCTCTCAGAGTGAGGTTTGTTTGTGTATATTTTAATTCAAATTTTTCGATAGTTGCTGGGCAAATATTGGTAGGAGTCTGGCCTTTGGTAAAACTGATGTGAGTCTTGGTCCTTCATGCTTGTCAAAAACTCTGATCCAACACGAGCTCATTCATGCATTAGGTAAGAGAAATTTTAATCATTTTTGTAAAAGTATTGCTTTTATTTTATATATTTTATTTTATTTATCAATTATAAATTTCACTATAATGAATAAGTGTAAAAATATAAAAAAATTATTAAAGCTTCTATACAAGTAACCAATGCATCTGCATCTTCTTTTATAAAGCTCAAAATAGTAATACATAAAAACTAGAAGAAAGTTTAAAGACATCGTAAAAATTTGAGCAATTCATTCTTTTTACTGATATCATCATTGCTAAACTATGTTAATGCTTTTAGAGCTAAATATAAAAACAGTTTTTTACTAACTTACTTCCAGGATTCTTTCATGAGCAAAGTAGAAGGGACAGGGATAACTATGTGAAAGTTTTAACATGGAACATCAGTCCAGGTGAGAGCGAAAAATTTAACGTTGTATTGCAGTTTATTCGGCTATAGAATAAAAACCCTTCTTTAAATTATAGTTCTCGTTGCTTTCGTATCAAAGTGTCTCTGAAGCAACAAATTTTAATCTACAACTTTTCAGACAATGCTGTCGAAATATTGAATTCTGCATCTTTTGTATGAATTTCGGGAAAATTACGAGTTTTGAATCAGAAATGCAAGGTCACCTCGCATAATTTATAACGAAATCCTCATGATCTTTGTAGCCAACCTATACAATTTTGACAAGACAAAGAAATATGAGGCAGAAACCTTTGGTGTACCATATGATTACAACTCAATCATGCACTATACGAAAACGACATGGACAAGAAATGGACAGGACACGATGCAGGCAAAGAATGATCAAGATTTACGGCTTGGTGGAACTGTATTGAGTAAATATGACGTCATGAAGCTGAACTTGATGTACCATTGCCATGGCAAGTATTTTGCAGCCTCTTGTAATAGTTATTGTTTACAAACAAAGGTTTTTCATATTGAATAATTGTAGTGTAATGTCCTGCAAGCTCTCAATCCATTTCAAGGGTGAAGTTTGAGCTGGACAAGAAAGACGACCATTTCCTTATATACGAATTAATTCTTTGTACCTCTAGCTGCATAGCACGGGCCAGAATCAAAGACATTGTTCATCCTTACTCAGACGAATGTTCCAAAACTTTCAAAATCTTGCTAAAAATTAATGAAAACAAGGTGATGTTTGGGTGTATTAATTGGAGTTCTTCTGTTTCAAAGGCCTTCCTTGGCATTGTATTTCTGGAAGATACGTGACCCTTTTACCGACTGTATTGCCTACTTTCGCCATTAGACCCATTACAGATGGGACTATAATGCAATGTTGGTAAATGTCTCCAATTAACATTTTGGGGCTCTAGCATTCTTGCTCTTTTGTATACGTCAAAACACCAACGTTTACTTTGGGGAAAGCACATTTTTTTGAAGACAAAATCATTCGTACCACCTTTAAATACGACCTTTCAAGATCCTTGCTGACTCCACAGTTAACAAGGCTAGTAGTAATGGTGAATTTGTTGACACGAAAAGACTTAAAGTATGGCCTATGCTGAAGCAATGTCCTATATCTTTTGCAAAACTCTGATGTTGTCATCGCCATTTTGAAACCCCTGCTATCCCTGTTCTCTCATCTTGAGTATATTCATACAATAGTCTAGTCTTTAGTCTAGATAAATATTTTTCAGATTTTTGAATACTTTACGAAACAGAAAGAGATCGAAGGTCCCTTAAACAAATACTGATCAATTCAAAACTACATATAAAAAACCAAAAAAGTGGCAGTCTACTTGCGAAAAAAAACAAGAATAAACGTTTATAACAAAGAGTGTTTCACAATAAGAAGGCCTGAATGTTTTCAAAAATTCTTGACAAGGAACTTATGTTTCCTGTTGTAGCTTGTTTAGTGTTAACAAATGCTTTGTCCTGACTTGTTCTACTTTCTAGCTTCGTTTGCAATCCAACTAGATTTGGCTTAAAAAATGACGTTGTTTTGATTTTTTTTGCTCAGAGAAAAATGGTGAAAGGTGGACTGAATGGTCCGACTGGTCAAGATGTATACGAAACAATTATGGCTGTTATCGAAGCAAACATCGAATTTGCTTGGTTGAAAACCTGGCTCTATGTCCAGGGGCAGATGAATATGGTGTCCAGTCAAATGCACAGAAATGCCCCTCGCCAAGCTACTGTGACGGTACGTTTTAATGTACTATGGTTTTGATGATTTATGTTCAGTTTAATAAAGTTTGGTTTATTTAAGACCTAACGCTGACAGAGGCAAAGACGGGGGCAAGTGAGATGTTCTTACAAAGGAAATCTTTGTCACAATTCTGAGCGCTTTTTCACAGCTTCTGAGAAACAGTAATTTTTTTTAGTTGAACCAGTGGATGGATTTTGGGGGAGCTGGTCTTCGTGGGCTGCGTGCTCAAAGTCATGTGATAAAGGGACAAGGAGAAGATCTCGCCAGTGCAATTCACCGAGACCAGCAAATGGTGGAAGGAATTGCAAGGGTGCAGCGACAGATACAGAGAAATGCATGAGACGAACGTGCACAGCTAGTGAGTCTTCCGCCGTACAAAAATGTTGCATCAATTTTTCTGGAATTGTTTACATCACCTCTTCAGTCAGTGGCGGAGCCACGGGGGGGAAAGGGGGGACTAGTCCCCCCCACTTTTTCAGAAAGTTGGTCCTTGAGATTCTTGCAAACCCAAGGAGAAAACTTCAGGGGGGGGGGTATGTACGTTATCTAGATCGTCACATGTAAATGACTTTTCTTGGGAGACAACAGGTGTTTTCTCCGAAACAAAAAGTTTCAAACATGGGAAACGGGCGTGGTCCAAAAGGGCGCTGTCCCTGACACACCTTTTGTCCCCCCCCCCCCACTTATCCCAGGCTGGAGCCGCAACTGACTTCAGTTCTACCACATGGTCTTCCAGAACTTCCAAGTTACTAGTACAATGATGGGAAAGGCATTAATGATATTGTAGAAACCTTGTACATCTAAGCCAACCGTTACAACTGTTTCTACGTGACATCATATGACTGATTTTGTCATTTAGGCTTTAAGGCTACTTGATTGACTGATTGACTCATTTTGTCATTTCACACGAAAATTGCCTTTCCTTTGCAGACAAATATTACACAAATTTTGATAATGGCTTTGGAGTTTGGTCCAATGTTCAAGGAAGAAATGACCCTCTGAATTGGCAGCGTGGCCGTGGAAAAATGTCACAGTATTCTGGACCACAATCTGACCATACGGATGGAAATGGTAAAAGAGTTTTTACGTTTTATTATACAACTGTTAATTACTTCAATACTAGCAGTGACTACTAGCAGATAATAGTTTAGCACAAATTGCAAAGGATAGTACCCTATTGAGAATGATAAATGTTTATGATTATAAAATGTTTGATTTTCGATTTGACTTAGGTTGGTATCTCTACGTCTCAACTGCCAGCTACACAAGTCACAAGAAAAGGGCAGGATTAATAAGTGAATATCTTTCTGGCAAAAAGTGCATATCTCTGGCATATTGCATGCGTGGTAAAAACATGGGAAGGCTTGATTTTTCGTTGCAAACATCGAGTGGACAGTGGTACAATTTTCCATCTACCAAAAAGGGTCACCAAGGAACTGGTTGGCACGATATTGAATTTTCGCTCGTAAATCCAGCGTACACAAAGACTTCATACCGGGTAATATTTTCATATCTCTTACGTTCCTTTCGATAATAGCAGATGGGATCCTGAGTTGTCTTTTCTGCTCAAAGCCTTTTATTTCAGTTAAAGGAGGAAATAGCTGATGAGCAAAATACACATCGAACATTTAAGTAAAAGTCTGTTAAAGATTTCTGATAAATATTCATTGGACTTGATTACATTGAGCAGTCCATACAGCCATAATATTCTTACGATGGAAATTATTTGCTCTGAATAGAGTATACAGCATATTCTAAATGCAGTCTGCAAGAAATCTCGGCTAATAGTTTGTCTTTTATGTTTCTACACGATCAACTCTGTTGATTAGCCACCAACATAGAAATGAAACGGGTTTCCCCTTCATCAAGCTATCACTTATCTGAAGCTAAGCAAAAAAGTAATCTAAAACAAGCCTAGCAAAGAGTCATTGCTGACGATGTCTGGGACAACAAACTTGGATTCCTTTTCGTCATTATCCAATGCTTTTCATTTTGATAGATCATGCATTTGTCTATTCACCCTGAAGTATCAAACCCTTTAATTTATCGGTTTGGTCTTGGCGAGAGGGAGCCCTTTTAGGCGAAAGCAAAACCTTCATTTTAGCAATTTCTTTAAGCGCTTCTTTCCTTGCTAATCGAAGTTTTTCCTTCTAGTTCTTAATCGAAACAACCACTGGTATTGGCCCATATTCAGATATAGCTATTGATGACATTCTGATAGAAAATGGAGCATGCGGAAAGAATGTGGAAGCATCGAAGCCGAACCCAGGCATTGCTCCTGTCGTGAGTCAAGGTTTGTATACAGGACGTTTCTTGACGATTAAAATCTATCTATTCAGAATAATGTTATTCTTAAAAGCATTGTAAGAATGCTGTTAAAGATTAAAGCGTATTTTGAGATATAATATTGTTAAAACCTGTAAAGCAGATTTGAGGTTAAAGCTCTCACCAGAACGGACGTTTTAATTTCTGACCCTCCTTTATAATATGCTGTATTCTTTTCGTTGGCTGGTTGTCAGAAAAACCCCATTTAACGGATTCGTGTAATTTTTTGTTACTGTTATTCTATTCTCACCAGGCTTCTTGCTTATTATATCTCACAGGCTGCACCAACAAAAACAAGAACTGCATTTCTTGGGAAAAACACGGAGAATGCCATAAGAACCCTGGTTACATGAAGACTGGGTGCTGTCTTTCTTGCAGGGGTAAGAAATTTAGGCTATTCCACAGATTAACAGTTTGCTAATCAAATTAAGGAGAAAGCAAAAACTACTTCAGATAAAACATTTTTAAACAAAAGCCTGGCTCGGTGGACAGTTCTACAGTTTAGAGATAGGAAGCTCGTTAGTGAGTGAACTCGAATTTTTGTCTTCAATTATGTTGAATTAAAACCAGACAGTGCATATAACGTATTATGCCCAGTATGCCATAATATATATTTAGGTTTTTGATATGTCTTATACCCAAAACCAATACACAGAAAGTCCAATGCCTACTGGGATCTTACGTAGTTAGGAAGTTCAAACGAGAACAAGACTGATCAGTCTAAGCAAGACAACACAAGAGAACTCTTATGTTCTCTTATGTTATCTTGGTCTAAGTCTAAGTCAAATTTTTTGCGAAAAAACTGTTCCTGTGGACTAAATTTTTGTCAATCTGCGTTTATACGTTCAATTTTAGCATATTAGATTTATAAGTGTTTGCTTCAGATATCTTCAGCAAAAAACTTAACATCCTCTTCTTTTATTATCTAGTCTAACGAAATTTAATCCTAATTTTGTTTGTCTAAGCAAAACGAGACCTAGCCATAAATCCTTAACACGAACGTAGGTCAGGTAATTAACATAATGAATTTTTACTGAGGCTGTAGGGTATTCATCTATACAAATGTGAAAAACCCACCTTTCGACAATCTTTTACATACTCTGCTTTCTTCAAAAGAAGGAATTTACAACTCATGATGGCGTCAGCAACATTTCCTCCTCTTCCGAGCATTGTCATCCACAGAGATCGATCCACGATTTTTAACACTTGCATCTGTAATGATAAAATCAAAGTTTTAAATTCATTTTATGACTCTTTGAAAGAACTATGATAAAGATTAAATGAAGTCTCTAGTATACGCAAGTAACAGTGACTCAGTTCCTCTTACGCTGCTCATTCATTTGCTCATCATAAAAAAACGAGAATTTAGGCATTCTTTTATACCGAACTTTTCTACTCTAACAAGTTTAAGCATCTTTCACAAGCTAACACTGACATCCTTTATAATTGGCCTTTAGACGAAAACACAGTACTGGTTGTTTTCACTGGTAAGACAATACGGATGTTGTGTATGTTGCATAAGCAGTCAAGTAAATTGGTAGAAGCTAAGGAAACCCAGTTAATCGCCAACACTGAGAAGATAGAAAAAAATACAACGGTCAATCTACTAAAACGATTGCATAATCATCAAAATTTACATCGTTGTCATACAGAGCATTTACCGACTCTACTCGTTGTGAAAAGTATTACCTAAAGATTATTTGAAATAACTTAGGCAATTTAATTTCGATTTTGGTATATTTTCAAATGGTTTTAATCTTTCTTCTTTGTCAACGCAGGTACGGGTGACTGTACTAAAGATTCTTACAGTGCAACCAGTTGCCCAGACTGGGCAAGTAAGGGGGAATGTGAGAAGAATCCAATATGGATGTGGAAGAACTGCTGTAAATCCTGCAAAAGTATGAATATTTCCTTCTTGAAGCACGACCTATTTGCGAAAAATAAGTTTGAATGAAAAAGTTACTGTTTAGTCTAGAGCCAATTTTTTATCAATTAACTCAAGATGACAATTTTCTTTGTATTCTAGATGAACGAGCGGTAAAATTTATGAAGAAGTTAATAGTGGTAAAAATTTACTTTAATCAGGTTGCAAAACTTTATTTTCACAGAGCAAGGAAATTGCAGTGAAAGTAACAAGAATTGCAAGATTTGGGCAAAGGATGGATGGTGCAACAAGGAAAGCCATGTTGTCTACATGTGGAAATCCTGCTGTAAATCCTGCAAAGGTATGACAATTTTACCTTTTGATTAGTGGTGGACAACGGGGGGGGGAACTGGGGGGGGGAGAGAAGGGATCGGTCCTCCCAATATTTTTCAAGACAATGGTCTTTTGTTAATAATAATGAACAAATGTGACATCATCTTATCAAAACAATAGGCTTTTCCCGATATGACCAAGTGTCTGCTACTGCTTTTGATATTTGACCTTTTCCATATTAGGATGAATATGAGTTTGAATATAATTATTTTCGTTGTTATTTGGCGCGATTTTCACCTATTTACACCAAGCGAGGTACAAAAAGCGAGTTTTTAATGTGGCATTTCCAAGAAAGATGAAGTAAAAATATAAAATTTAAATGAAGACCAATGCAAGCTAGCTACAGGCACGCTGGAGTCGGGGGAGGGGGGGGGCTGTAGCCCCCTCACTTTTTTGCTGAAGTATGATTTTAAAGTTGTAGCGTCAAGGATAATGGTGGAAAAACTACCATCAACGCTTGCTTATTTGACTAGAGCCCCCTCACCCCAAAATGTGTTGCGGCGTCCCTGAGCTATAGGATTTTTCACAAATATTTCATTATTATAACAATAATAAATGTAAGATTTGAGCAAAGAATGAATTGAAATTTCTAATTTATTCCAATGTATAGTAATTGTTGCTCGTCCAGTGATTAGGGCTTAAAATCAGCAAATAAATTAATAATTCAATAATTATTAGACCCATCTGCAAATTCGTTCGGATTTCAATTATATTCGTGTGTTCTGATTCTCACATACTCGTTTATCGTATGTCATTTTCCCTTCTCTTCTTCAATAATAAACAATATATTTTAGAATGGTGGGAAAAACAATGATGTAGTTGCTGGACAAAACGAGGTGATTGCAAACAAATCGAAAATGGACGATAGAATGTTACAAATTATGATTTTGTAAGAGACCTACATGGCAAATGGAAAAAACTAACATCACCATGAACGTTTTGAAATACACCCAATGAACTTTCGCTATACGTTTATAAACACTAACGATTTATTACTCTGAAGTGACTAAAAAAATCTTTAGTTAGTTTTTGTTGTAAAGTGAGAAAATGTAACAAGGCAGTTGCTTTTTTACCACAATGAGCTAACGTTCCTGACAATTCCTTTTACTACAAGGAATCATTCTTATAGTTTTAATATAAATAATTTCTATTGGAATGATTCTTGTCTTTTCTCTTTCCCCTTCAGTGGTACAATATTTAACAACACAACATAAAGCTTAAGACAGTATACATTATATCAGAGATACTATCCATATCCTACCATCTTTTTGCAACCTTTTTGCACATATTTTTTATAAGAATAAATTCTTTAAGAATATTGAGGTTCGAAATTGGTCAAATTCAGAAACAAGTCATGAGCAATTGCAGGATTCAGTTTTCTTTGGCAATTTGACTTTTGTCTATATGGGTTTTTTAGAGCAGATAGTTTTTTAAACTCGTGCAAAAAGCTTGAGGAGCAAACATGAAGCTTGTATTTTGCTAGTATTTTTCGTTTCCTATGATGTTTTCGTTATAAAGATAGGCAATAGCAAAGAGAGAACTTTCTTCTTAAGAATGATTTAAAAATAATTTCAAGATCAACATCAAAATAAGCTTTTTGACGTCAATCAATATTCTTGTCCTGCGGCATCTTTGAAATGGAAAGCCTTGAGATATATCAAACCGGAAGCTAGGACAAAACAGTACAAAAGCTTAGCACTTGCCCAGCACTGCTACAGTTGCAGCAGTTCCTAGACTGGTTGCTGAGGTAAACTTGGGAGGAAAGAATATCAAGGACTATGTAAGTACAAAAAAAGATCCGTTGGCAATCTCTGAATATTCTTTTGAATAGTTTTTTAAGGCTGTTCGGATCCTCTAGCTGCTTGTCAGCTCTGCTATATTTCTGAGTTGAGGGTCGAAACTATCTTTCGAAATGGGGAATGAAATTTATCGTTATAAATCAATTGCATTAAACAGGTTTGATAATTATGGAAAATCTGAGATTGGTTCTCATAAGATTAGATCAAAAAAATAATTTGTACAGTCAGAATGACCAAACTAACAAATAAACGGTGAAAATGGAGGCTTGCTTGACGCTTGACCTTTATCTTCGAAGTGTCATTAGGAGGGTATTACCTTGACATAAACCGTGGAACAATGCTCGAGTCAAATTTCATGCTGAAAATAATTTGATCCTGAAGTTTTTAATATCGCTGCATGGTGGAGAAAAGGTGGATAAAAATAATTCCTTGGGAAAGAGCTCATTAAATTCTTGTATCAAAATGTTTTTATGTGAAAGCAAACACGTTTGAAAAGTGCAAAGAAATTGAATTGGTTTTATTCTTTGCCAGTGTCTTGCCATCTTTTGTTGTTGAGTTCTCAAAAATTTTTTTTTTTGGCGTAACAATGAATGTTGATGCATTTCTAATTCAATATTCTTTATATTTTATATATTTGCTGTATTTACGAGAAAAAAGCGGCCTGTGTTGCCACGTTCTTTAAATGGGTTGAATGAGCCTGGCTGAACAAGTTTGCACTGGTCTTTAACCACTAAAGTTTTTTCCGCATGAAAAGCGAGTTGAACGAGGTTAAGGTTGTTATAACTCAGTTTTTAATAATAAACATATATCTTTGCAAAGCAAAAGCGACAAGATTATCGAGGGTTGACTTTGATGAAATCATGGCCCACAATCCATAGCGAAAAAGTGACAAATGAGAGGTGACAGTTTGTGGTATTGCAAGATATCAGTACCCATCCCCTCCCCGTGATACACGGCGGGGTGATTCACAGCGGGGTGATTCACAGCGGGGTGATTCACAGCGGGGTGATTCACAGCGGGGTGATTCACGGCTGGGTGATTCCCTGAGGGGTGTTTCACAGTGGGGCGAGAGGCGTCGTGATGTGATGCCTGCGACTATGCGTTTCTTCAGTCGTACACCACGACGATTCAAAGATATTTTTACAAGATAAATTGAAAAAGAAAATAGCCAGAATAAGTACTGCTTAGGTTTTTATAGCCCTTTGGATAATGAAAATAATGAAGTACAGAATTTTTCTGTTAATAAAATCCTTGTTTCCCTGGAGCCAAGGGTGCAGATTATAAGCTCAATAGAGATGGCAAACAGAAACATAAAGAAGGTGATGCATAGAGATTCTGACAGAAGCATGTCACAATATCCATAATAAACATATTACCTGTTTTTATCTTTCTTAATCCCCATCAATATCAATTTACTATAACTCCTTTACATCAAGATTACCTAGATAATCCTAAGACCAACCAATGCCACAGAAATGCCACAGCAATGCCACAGAAATACCCCAAAGTTTTTGACGTTGCCAATATGAAAAAATAAATTACCGGGTATGCCAAACACGAAAAATTACACGAAAAAATATTTTCAATATAGCCGAGTGCTGTAAAAATCTTGCTTGCCTGTTCAATCTAAATCAGATCGGTTTTTAAGAAAGCTGCTTTAAATGGTGATTGAGACCTTTTGGTTATATTAAGTCGTCGTTTACCCTGACCCGTACAAATTTGGAACTGTAACAAAGCCATCCACCTTGCGTTATTACCAGCACTTTGGAACCAAAGTGATTTTGTTACGCTATCTACAGTAATTTTCTCCCTGTGTTATGAAACAAGCTCATTTCGTCATGTTACGGTTCCCTTCTAAACGGATAATTTATTACGGATTCACAACGAGGCCGCAAAATACGAATGCTTCAGGCAATCGAGGCAGTGATTTTTACGCAGTTTTACAGACAAGAATTGTCAAGACGGATAAAGCATTTGATTAATGACTTCATACTATTTGTTGCGTTTTTCAGTCAAAGCCAAAGCCATGGTTTACAATGCTCCGCCCTCTTTTGATCGTGCCCTAACAAGTGTATCATTAAACTTGACAGTGTAAACAGAAGCAGATCAAAAAGGGTATAGAAATTATCCTGGGATAATGTAAACGGGGTCAAAAAGTGAAAACTTGCGATTAAACGTTGACGCAATTTCCGGAAAACAAACTGTTTCCCGTCTTGAAAAAAGGTTACTTTCATTTAGGATATAAAGAAAAGTTTCAGATAGTGTCCTTGATTTAGATTGTGTGTAAATGTTTTGAATCTTTTTGACCGATCAAATAAAATTCAGCCCCCCCCCCCCACACTTTCCAACATGCGTCGGAGCCCATGAGACTTGGCCATACTTTCTATTTAAAAATAAAATTGATATTGTATCATGGACCATGTATCATTTGACTTTGAAACTTGCTGGCACAGACTACCCAAAAGTAGATAAAACCTTTGAGTTGAGCTACCCAGGGAAAATTTGGAAGAAAAAGTGGCATATTCAGTAGATTTGGTTTGTAATAAGTATTATTCATTTCATTTAGGTATTAATTAAATGTTTTACACCGACGATTGTGCGTATATATTCAGCTCACCTGGTCGAGTCGTCATTGACTCATTTGTGACGAAAATTACTTGATATCATCCTCTGGGCACACTTCAGTTAATTCATAACGAAATGATTTCACTGTCTATTCCACCTTTCAATGGTTTACAACTTGATTGAACGGCTTCGATCTAAGAAACAAATTATCAATTATCTATCATTAGTTCCAACTTGTAACACTATTACTAGATAAAGGCGAAAACCATTCATTAGAAACATTTGAAACATTACAAACATTAAACTGCTGCTCTTTATGCATTCGTTTCGAAAAAACACTAATTTATTCGTTGTGCCATTCCTTTCTAGAATTATGGGGAAGTGCCTGCTAGCTCCATTGCTGCTGATCGTCCTATTAGCAGAGGCAAGTCTCTGTGTTGAGGTTGACTTTGGAGGAAGGCCAGCAAGACCCGTTGAAGAGGAAGGTAAATTTTCATACTCGAAGTTTTCAAATTTTGAAATCCTTGAGTTTATTGAGAATGGCAAAATGCATTTGCGTTCGAGATTCAAACTAAAAAAATCTGTATGATAAATTTTAGCTCCATTTTTTCGAAAATGTAACATCATATGATCTTCATCTGATCTCTGCTTTTGCATCCTAAAATTTTACTGTATCTTGAAAAAATGAAACTTGCTTTTAGAGGTTAACCCATTTGATGTTATATCAAAACAAACGAAGGATGATGTTCTGCCGGCAACCGGGAGATCAGGTAATTCCGTCTATATATTGTGGTCATTAACAATTTTGGTCGCTAACAGGGCCGTAAATCCCGGGGGGGGGGGGACGGGGGGGACTGGACCCCCCAAAAATCTGGAACAAAACAATTTTTTTAGAAATTACTTTTAGTTAATTTTAGAGAAAGGTATCCCTGGTAGCTAGGTTGGAACCTAACAACGTTTTGCTGAGTTTTTGCAACATACCTCAGCCACTTTGTCATGGTGACTATTGCCAAGTGCAAGTTGACTAATGTAGATGGCTGTTATTTATGTTTGCAGAGTGGTGTCGAATCGGTGACGATACCCATGGACGGGAAATTAGCCCCAAATATTTTATCCACCGGTCACCCCTTGAATAAATCTCAAAAAGCATGTAAGGAAAGAATCGTTTGAGTCGCCAAAAGTCTCGACAAACCCATATTACACATATTTTTATACACGCCTTTTTATAAAAATCCTAACTCAAAACCTAGGTCCTAAAGCTCCTTATTTCTGAACCTCTATTAGTCAAATTGAGGTTTATGGCCTCCCTACATAATAGCTCCTTAATTTTAACTGCACAGGAACAAGGAACAAGGCCAGAAGACAAAAAGGGCAAAGAGTAGAATTAATTTGCGTAATTTACGCTAATTTTTGATCTGCGTAAAAGTACCACGTCAACAAAGAAGCACTTTTGCATTTGATATAGAGAGAAGCATTGACTAAACTCTTTATTATTAGAATGCAATAAATTTTGCCCATCCTTGATCTTTTAAAGAAAATTTTCATTTGGAGCCCGAATATGTTCTTGGATACATCCTATTTTTTTTCAAATATGGTTTCAAGAATAAAAACGGTTGCTCTCGAATAGAAAACGCCTTTTCTTTCTTTTCTCCAACGTCTGTCACTAGAGTTTCAGCATTTCCCCAACAACTGTCACTAGACTCTGCCCCTTCCCAATTTCTCCCAGAAACAATAGTCTCTGTTCTTCTGAGAAACGTCGATTTGTCTACCCTGAACGGTATAGTATTTTGTTAAACTTGGTCTGGGAGATGTTTTTCAGCTTTTTAGAAAGTATGATTTAAAAAAAAATTCTTTCGCGTCGGCCCCAACCATGGTGGGTCCTCCTACATCACTAAGCGCGATTCTCAGCCCCTCAGGTTCAATTTCCTCAAGCTGCCTCTAAAAAATGTTATCAACTCAATTATAAAAAAGTCAACGTGCTAAGAAATATCTGTAAATACCTTCTATAGGGCTGAAAAAACCTTAGTAAATCTAAAAAGATTTTTTTGTTTTTTAAGTCGTTTGCCACTCAAACTGTTTTCTTAACACACTCTACAAGTTGCTTGGTGGTGCCATGACCCACTGCACACTTTATTTTAATTCGCTCTGCTGACCCCCCCCCCCCCCAAATTGACACGACAGATTTACGGCCCTGGTCGCTAAAATTCCGATAATCAACACTTTCTCGTTGTATTTGCTTTCTCTGCTAGACTGACACATTTCTCAAATCCACCATAACATGTTTTACTACTCCTTTATAATGTGCAAATGTTATGTTGTATCGCTTGAACTGCATAAATTATAATTATTAGCAGCTCATTACCAGATCCCCCCAGTAGTTAATCAGTTAATCATGCTTGGAATTATTGAAGATTGGAGTTAGCGTGGAGGGGGATAGTCTCTACATTCATCGTTCATAGTCATGTTTGCTAAAATATAAAGATAAATCAAATGATGTCGCCTGTTATACATTCAAACCTGAACAGTATAAACCATCTCACTGTTTATTGTTGTTTATGCCGACAAGAAGGTCGCGTGATCGGTATTTTTAATCACTGAAAATAACTCTAAAAAGCGGTATAGGCTTTAAATACGTTTACGTTTCATTCTAGGTGAGCTATTTTCTTGGGAAAATCTTACGAAAACATGTTCATCCTCTTTGGTTTAAAAATCAATTTTTTGAACCATCAAGTTCTGACGAAGGTGAAAATGACATGTCAACAAACCACAACTCGCGTACTGGATGGTTGCAAAAAGTCGATGTACCAGGGGCTTTTAATAAGGAGATGGTAATAAAGGATATAAAACCACTTGTCCACTACTTTGAGTTCGAAGATAATATAATTGTAGGGTAACTCACAAGAAGGGCTATTTCTAAAAGTCGAAAAAATTTTCAAAATATTAATGATTGATCTAAAAACTAAGGTTTATAATTGTTTTTTCTTTAAGTCGAGTCAAGAACGGTCTACCAGGGAGATATCGTTCTGGACGAGGCGGAAAACGCAGCCCTTGGCTTGGGCCGCTCGACCACCCAGAACATTATTGTTCTTACATGGCCAAGAAAGCTCTGGAGAACAAGAACGGTCCCATACATCATCTCTGGACAATCATATGATGCTGTGCGTAAGTTGTAGAAACTCTGTTTTCATTTCCAGATTTTTAAACCAGTTTAAAGGTAAATGGGCAATAATGGATTTGCAACAATAAAAAGGAGGGGATATGGCTTTAAACCTTGAAACCTGAAATAAAACTTTAATTCGCTACTTATAGTGAATTAAGCTAAAGATTGACTGGATGCAGTAATATCAAAATTTCAATTACCTCATCATGTTTTGGCTTCAATTTTACTAAAATTAACTGAAGAAATTATAATCATTAAATAAAGTATTAGGGATTGAATGAGTTTTTTCAGTTTTTGAAAAGAAAATATAAAGTCAAGTGTAAAAACAGGTGCATAATAGCAATAACGGATTTTCGGGCATAATAAAACCGAAAGCCCATTTTAAGAAAAGTGCACCATACACGAAAAAAGGACTTCAAGTCTGTTGGATATCGTTAAAGAAAAACCTATTTCACACAATTTTCCCTATCTATTTTGCCATTAAAACAGGACAACGAGCTTATTTCATATGGCTCTAAAGAGACACTTAAAGTAAACTCTTTTTGTAAATCTTTACCTAGAAAAAATTGAAGCTGCGATGAGAGATTTGGAAAAGAGGGTCTGTTTGAAGTTCAGAAAGCACCAATCAGGAGACAAAGCCTGGCTCAATATTTACAGAGGAAACTCGTGAGACATTTTGTTACACAATATATAAGACGCTGATATGCTCGTAGAATATGTTTCTTATATATATAATAGAATTTATGCTCTAAATCTTGAAATTCTACATGTTTCAAGGATAAAAAGGTATAAAAATGGAGAAAATAATTAGTTGTATCCCTTCAACATTATTTGTACCTCTCAAACGTAACTTTTTCTTAAGAGTATATTCCTGAGAGTTTATCATTTAAATTTCTCGATAGTTGTTGGGCAAATATTGGTAGGAGCCTGGCCTTTGGTAAAACTGATGTGAGTCTTGGTCCTTCATGCTTGTCCCAAACTCTGATCCAACACGAGCTAATTCATGCATTAGGTAACGAACAATTTCCACATTTTTTTAAATACAATGCATCTATAATTTGTACATACAGTTTAAAATAGTGAAGTATAGTATAGAAAATGAGAAATTGTGAGGTAAGAGAAAAGTTAAGCATTTTGTTCTTCCTTTACTGATATCGCAGTGATGACCCCTAGTTTCGGCAGCTAAAAGTTTTCTGATAAGGCAAAAAGATTTGCCTAGTCTTTTCAAATGCCAAAAAACAATCAGAAACTCTGGACGCTTTTCCATTATGCCAATAATTTACTGTTTTGAGTATTTGACTGGATAAAGGCAAATATTCATCTCAAATTTTGCATAATAATAATTCACATAACAGGGAATGGAGCCTTGAGGTGATTTTCAGGCCGCAGTACAATCTCTTACGATATCAACTTCGAATACGTTCCTGCATATTTCTATTGCAATTGCATTTTGCGTTTATATATCTTTTAAATAGCAGGTAAAGCCTTTAATGATAGAGAATAATTATTGAAAAGCTAGAAGTCCCAGCCAATATTAATGAAAAGATAATAGTACACGATTGGAATCGATATCTTAATGTAACAAAAGGTCTGATACTGAAATATAACAAAAATTGAGTTTTACTATACAAGCAAAGGATGTCATCCCAAAACATTTGTCATGCACAATTTTAAGTTTTGCATTCTTGTTGACGTCTTACAGTGACAAAATCTCTCAACTGCATTTAGACTAGTGTTCAGGCTAGAGGTAGATGTTATCTTTTGACTTTAAACCGTCTTCATCAGCTTTGTAATCAAACTTTTCACCGAAATCTATGTTATTCCGGCAAGACTATGGAAATGTCAAGGTTCAATCAATAATTGCCATCATGGAACATATTTCTTTTCTACATATCCTACAAATGTTAAAATACGAGTGAAATCCCTCTGGAAATATGTTAATTTGCTTTGATCTAGGCCATTTTACCAGAAATCTGCCAGTATACCAATGATTATAGAACGTTTTTTATTTATTCAATTCCAGGGTTCTTCCATGAGCAAAGTAGGCGGGACAGAGATAACTATGTAAACGTTTTGAATTGGAATATCAGTCCAGGTGAGAACAAGACCAATAGAAAGTATTGCTTTATCATACGTTGCTCAAACCTTTGCTTAAAAACCCTCTCTTGATCATGCTTCTTCCTGATCTCTTAGAGATGGAGACTACTTGACCGTCGTGAAACATTTTTGATCAGCGCTCACCACAACTGAGAAAAACTATGGGAAAGTCGAACGAATCAAAACTAATACTGAGCTGGCAATTCAAATCGAATATTTCATTCGTTTTGCAAGATATGAAATTCAATTGTCTTTTAAGCAATAGATGATTCCTTGAATCGTTTCAGGATAATGCTGCAAAAACATTGAATTCTGATTATAGATATACAATAATTTCTAACAGTAATTGCAATTTGCAAATTAGAGGTGCAGAATGTAATCTCCCATAATCTGTAACTGCTGTAGTAACGAAATCTTGATGATTTTTGTAGCCAACCTATACAATTTTGACAAGACAAAGAAATATGAGGCAGAAACCTTTGGTGTACCATATGATTACAGTTCGATCATGCACTATACGAAAACGACATGGACAAAAAATGGACAGGACACGATGCAGGCGAAAAATGATCCTGATTTACGGCTTGGTGGAACTGTATTGAGTAAATATGACGTCATGAAGCTGAACTTGATGTACCATTGCCATGGCAAGTATTTTTGCAGTCTCTTCTAAGTGTTGATAGATACTTCAAAAATACTGATGTCTGCTTGGACTTAAGTGAAGACAAGATACATTTAAAAGTGATTAGCACAGCTTTCATAGCATACAGTGGCGACAAGCCTTTGCGTAGAAAAGCAAATCATATGGAATTAATTTGGTGATACAACGATATTAAGATAAATAAAAATTTAGTATTACCATGGAAGAGGTCTGTCAAAGTGCCGACCATTTTGCATTTAAGAAACCACTGAAAATGTTTAAAAAGAGTGAGAAAGACTGATAAAAAAGTAATTTGATTTGTAGACAAAAGCGGTGAAAGATGGACTGAGTGGTCCGACTGGTCAAGATGTATACGAAACAATTATGGCTGTTATCGAAGCAAACACAGAATTTGCTTGGTTGAAAACCTGGCTTTATGTCCAGGAGCAGATGACTATGGTGTCCAGTCAAATGCACAGAAATGCCCCTCGCCAAGCTACTGTGACGGTACGTTTTAATGTACTATTGTTTCTAAGATTTTTCTTCAATTTGACACTGTTTGGTTTAACTTAAGTTAAGATCGACTAACGAGAGATGTTAAGACGGGAGCAAAGGAATCGCCTTCCATAAGAAATATGTAACACAACTCTGTGTTGCTTTTCCACAGCTTCTGAGAATCAGTAATTTATTTTTAGTTGAGCCAGTGGATGGATTTTGGGGAAGCTGGTCTTCGTGGTCTGCGTGCTCAAAGTCATGTGATAAAGGGACAAGGACAAGATCTCGCCAGTGCAATTCACCAACACCTGCAAATGGCGGCAAAAAATGCAAGGGTGCAGCAACAGATACAGAGAAGTGCATGAGACGAACGTGCACGGCTAGTGAGTCATTTTAACCATTGTATATATGGTCCATTACATTGGTACAATGAAATCAAAATTTGTCCTTTTCATGCTACGGTTTTTGAGAGTTGATTATTTTCATAAATTTTGGAACATTTCCTTTATTTTAGATAAGTATTACACAAATTTTGATAATGGCTTTGGAGTTTGGTCCAATGTTCAAGGAAGAAATGACCCTTTGAATTGGCAGCGTGGTCGTGGAAAAACATCGCAGTATTCTGGACCGCAATCTGACCATACGGATGGGAATGGTAAACAAGTTTTTACGATTTATCGTATAACTTTGAATAAATACCATATTAGCAACGCTATAAGCAGGTAGTAAATAGCACCAACTATGCAATGTTGCTTTACCATGCATAACCGTAGTACTCTTTTGGGAATGAGAATTTTTCACGCTCCTAAAATATTTGATTTTCGATTTGACTTAGGTTGGTATCTTTATGTCTCAACTGCCAGCTACACAAGTCACAAGAAAAGGGCAGGATTAATAAGTGAATATCTTTCTGGCAAAAAGTGCATATCTCTGGCATATTGCATGCGTGGTAAAAACATGGGAAGGCTTGACTTTTCGTTACAAACATCGAGTGGACAGTGGTTCAATTTTCCATTCACTAAAAAGGGTCACCAAGGGAATGGTTGGCACCATGCCGAGTTTTCGCTAGTAAATCAAGCGTACACAAAAACTTCATATCGGGTAATTTTTCTTTCCTTATCTCTGATGTTGTTAAACCAGTTGTAAAGTTATTAAAATTGAACAGCATTATGTTAAGAAAGATTACAGTTTTCCTTAAAAATCTTAAGCCCTGTAATTTGCATTGACAGTGACCAATTTGCGGGTAATTCTTCTCATATTGGGTAGTTGTCTTTCCTTACCTCTCGTGTTGCTTTAACCAGGTGTAAAATTAAGAGAATTGGTAATTTTCTTTCTATGTTGAGAGCGATAGAATTTCTTAACAACTCTAGTACCCTTTCATCTTATATTAACAGTCATTTTTCTATTATATTAATAAAACATTTTTCCCAACAGTTCTTAATCGAAGCAACTACTGGTATTGGCCCATATTCAGACATTGCCATTGATGACATTCTGATAGAAAACGGTGCATGTGGTGCTGGTCAAGAGAATGTGAATGCCGTAAAGCCTAAACCTGGTGTTGCTGCTGTGGTCAGTGAAGGTAAATATGTGAATATATACGACCATAGTCAACCTCCACGACTAAAGACGACTATACACGACTTTATACGAGCATACACGAATATAAACACGAAACAGAGACCTAATATTGAACGGCATCAAGCTGTTTATCTGGTTGTAACGACTAACAAGACACGAGACCGCTAGAAGTACTCGATTTTGAACATTATAGACTGGGGATACACAAACATTTTATTGCTCTAGAATTATAAACGCAGGCCTAAATTTAGCATAATTATCTTTATCTCTATTTGAAGAGTCAATAACTTCAATCGAAGAAACATTCACACTACACTCATCCACATTCCCAGCAAATGTCCATAGGATGTGCTATTGTTCATCACATTTTAAAGAACGCGATCTAAAATCGTACGCATTATCTAAATGCCTTATCTAAAAGTTATATGGATTATATAATTAATTAACAAGAAAGCAAAGCCACGAATGCACCAAGGATATCAAACAATGTCTCTTGATACCTTGAAAATAACCCCTATAGTTTTACAGCTTATCAAATAGCTATTTACTGAATAGTTTGATCATCTTCTCAAATGCAATGCAACACAGCCAAATCGATAAAAAGTCTATATGCACTGGTAAAAAGATATCTTCTGTTTATTTAAAACGAAAACCCATAAATCAAAGATTCTTATAGTGTCACAAAGATAAACCAATTCTGCAAAAGTAGAGATTCTCCTAATGGAGCACACGAGAGTTAAATATTTAAGAAACAATTTACATTAGTTGTTGCCTTCACGAAAGCTATTGAACGTATTTTTATTATAGTACTTTGTAAAATTTCAAAATGGAAAACAGCTTAAATGTTGGCTAACGGTGGTTTTGTGGAAAAATCATTTGGTATCAATTTCTTTATTAGGCTGCAAGAATAAGGATAAAAATTGCATTTCATGGGCGAAGTCTGGTCAATGCCATTTGAATCAAGGATACATGCTAGAGTCTTGTTGCCTTGCATGTCGAAGTAAGTTATTACCAATATTCATCTGATATCAACAAAACTACAAGGCAAGTCAATTTATTTTGATCTAAGTATGCAGAAAGATAGAGGTCAGTCAAGAAAAAAGTCAAAGGATAGAACATTTATGCTAACAGACAGCTCTGTTGATTCTGCATTCTTAATGACCGTTTTTAAAGCCACCTTTGCTGGCATAATAGTCTTAAATGAATCAAATAAAAACCACGCTACAACCATTTCTCTCAAACAAGTGCAGTTGCTTTGAAAAAGTAAACCAATTGACAAACATCCCGAAGATGTCTATAACTAAACTCGACTTATCAGCATGCATGTAATTGAAATTTCATATGGCTTAAAGTCTATGTGTTTTTAGAATTAGGCAGTATTTTGGTAACAGCTTGCTGATGCAAACTTTTTCTTTGTCAACGAAGGCATGGGAGAGTGCAAGGACTCTTACAGTGCAACAGGGTGTCCAGAATGGGCAAGCAAAGGAGAATGTGTGAAGAACGACAAATGGATGTGGAAGAACTGCTGTACATCCTGCAAAAGTATGAAAATATGATTTCTGGTGCATGATCATTTCGTGAACAAATTATTCATATGAAAATTTAGGTGCATGTTTTTCCTCTAAGGCCAATTTAATCAATTAGCACAAGAATACAGACATTATTGTTTCTTGTTGTGTTTGAAATACAGTGAAACCTCTAATAACTTTCGCCTCTGTGGCCTCTGTTTTGTGTTTATATTCGTGTATGTTCGGGTAAAGTCGTCCATAGTCGTCCATAGTCGTGGAGGTTGACTATGGTCGTTTACATTCGCATATTAACCTTCACTGACAACAGCAGCAGCATCAGATCTGCGGCCATTGAGAAAGAACCTGCCGAACTGATGGTGAAAATCTAAAAAACATCCGCACAGCGGCCACCTCCAATCAAAGACCAAACAGCAATTTAGGAGTGCCCCAATGCTTTATCCTACCTCCAGTGAAGTAGGTTACCTTTTGCAAAGAAATGAAAGAAAAAAACCAAAAAAACGTTTCTTTTTAGAGAGTAAATATACATTTTAAAAATTATTAGCTTTTCCCAGCCTTATCGTGTACCCTTGCTTGATACATCACGGGTATTTCAAGTCCTAATCCACCCCCACGATTTATTTCTATTCAGTGGCTGTGCATGATATCGTAGATCCTGATTTTGTAACATATGTAAGTAAAAAAAGTATACGAATTGCTTTAATCATCCCTCCCATCTCTTTTGACTAGCCTTTTTGATGAAAAGTATATACCAAAAGACCTCCCCATAGCGGTCACCTCTGAAACAACGGCCACTAAGCTTGGTCTTCGTAAGTGGCCGCTTTTAGAAGTTCCACTGTAATGATACGCAATATTCATGTGATTTTTTGAAGAAAACTAATACTATCAACAATTTGTTTTGATTAATTTTTGATACATCAATTTATAGAGCAAGGAAAGTGCAGTGACAGCAATAAGAATTGCAAGACCTGGGCAAACGATGGGTGGTGCAACAACGACAGCTATGTAGCCTTTATGTGGACAAACTGCTGCTCATCCTGCTCTGACTGTAAGATATCAATGTAGAAAAATTTCTGTATGAGATGCTTTTTAAGTTTAAACAGGCAGAAAAATGGAAAAACAAAGAAAAGTTTATCCTCTTTCGCCTGTCTCAAAAATTGGCTACCTTTGTTTCATTTGCCACCAACCTTATACATTGCCTTAAGAATTCTTGAGGTTCTATAAACATTCAAAAGGCGATCACCAATTCAATTTATAATCGTCTTTTGAAAATTACTTCAGACTCTTTGTACCAAGTTTTTTACGCTAGATTCAGGACTAGAAATTTAGATTACCTGTAAGTTTATGGTGACAAAAATTTGATAAGGGATTTGAATGTGGTATATGTCTGTATGAGAATGAAAAGTTTTCAACGGAACACGTTTTGCCACCAGATCACTTAAAAATTTTCAAAAGTTTTAACAGACATCTACAATACAAGCAAAAAAATATGAAAATATACCCAAAATAGAAGTAAGGTGGAAAATTTTAATCTAACCTCAAAAAGTTGTACAATTACGTTTGGAGTATAGTCCAAAAGGAGGCCTTTAATTGAATTGCTGTTACTGTTTCAACACATGAATTAAAAAGAAATCGAGATAAGTTACAACCTTGAAATACACACCTTGAAATTCAAAATTCTCATAACTTCTGTTCTATAGCCCTTAGAGCAATGATTCTGGCATCAAATATAAACACTTTTAAATCTGAAATTGAATAAAACTTCATAAAAAAATTATCTTCAAAGGTTAAGTACATATAAGAGAGAATTTGATCTTCTGATATTTTTTGTTTTATTAGCATTTGCTAACAACAAGTTTTAAAATACATCAACTATGTTGCAGCTACAATTCCTGCCATAATTCCTTGGAACGCCCATTGGCTCATGTGCTATTTTGAAAAAAAATTACTGATTCTGGTAGTTCAGTTCAGTTCAGTTTTATTTTGAATTCCACTGGATACATACACTTGTTGCAAATTAGAAATAATCCAAGCTTAAAAGTATAAACAATGTAAAAGGAAGTTAAATAATATAAACGTAACATAACAAATACAGAGTAGAGGAGAAACAAGCTAGTATTGTAAACAGGGAATTATTTAAAGGAGGAAACTTTCTCAGTAGTTTATAAACTAATCGAGGAGAAAGCACCCCCTAGTAAATTAGATGCGTTCTGCTTAATTTTAATCCAGAAAAGTCCAGAACGTCTTTCTCCCAAAAAATGCTGTTTTAAGGGTTAAATATCATAGCTATGTACAAGGAAGCCATTTCTCCAAACCATACAATTCAAAATTGTGCAAAAAATTTTTTACAAGGGGATGCAATAAAAATTGTTCAAAAATTAAAATGCGGTGTACTTGATTGATAAACAAATGAGATGAATCAATGCCTCTTGGCATAAAGAATAAACAGGTCGAAAATTCATCATGTCCTTTTTATCATGATGATGGTACGATTTTCATTAAGGATAAATGTTTTAAATTGTAGTGCACATCCTTATCCAATTTTTAACAGTTTTGAAAACTTTCATTTGTATTACAAATAGCGATAAATAAATCTTTGTAGCTTGGAGAAAAAGCAAGAACTGTTCAGACAGTAATGCAAAGTGTAGTGAATGGGCAAGAGATGGAGAGTGCAAGAAGAATCCGGATTGGATGCTAAAGAATTGCTGCAAGTCATGCAAATGTGAGGGCTTTGGTGTTGCTTCATTCACTCTTTACGTTCATTCATTTCTAATGTCCTAACCAGCTTGGAAGATCTGATTTAACTTAATCCTACCACTACACATCTGTAGAGCATGTTTCGAATGTAAGAATTCTAAAACACAAGCGTTTATGTAACATAAAGATTTCTCGAATGCCACACAAACTTTATTTAAAAAAAACTGCAAAAGGGTTGATTAAGTTGATTTAAGTGTATATATTTTTCATTTATGCCATTTGGTATATAAAAAAGGTATGGTGTATATTAAGTTGCTTCTCCGAATTTCACGCTTAATGCGGTCATCAGATAACTCCATTTACATAATAAATTTCCATTTACATATTTGAGCAGCAGCAGGAATGAAAATGATGTCTTATACAATACTGCTTGATATCTTGTCAACAAACTAATTTTTTCTTTTCAGCTTAAGTGTGTATACACCTCAAGACTGAAATGGTCGAAAAAGCTGTTCAAAGATGCACACTTATGAAACTGCTATAGTAAACTTTATCATAAGCATTTTTACAAACGTAGGGTTAAGAAACCAAGTTCCTTTATCTGCTGATACAGTCTTAATCATGTCTATATTCTATTTGTTAATTACATAATTCGAATTTTTGTTGTTGTATTACCCTTGTTCTGCACAGTAATATATCATAGCATGCAAATATCATGGCATTATAATTTGTTGCATTCTACCACTTTATGGCATAGCCAAATTAGTGAAAACATTCTTCAGTCTTATAATGCTTTTAACATTATATACCAAAAACCAATATACAGACAGTGCTTACTGGCTTCTACGTAGTTGGGGAATCCAAGCAAGAGAACGAACAATTAGTCTAAGTCCATGTCAGATTTCTTTGGGAAGAAACTCGCCGTTGTTGAAGAAGAAAATTGTTTTTCAACCCGTGTTTATTTGTTCAGTTTCATCAAATTTGATCTATAAAATCATTGTTTGCTTCAGATATACTGAAAGGACATCTCCAGCCAAAAAACTTAACATCCCTTTTATTGTCTAACAAAACTTAACCTGCTCGTGAATTTGTTATTCGTTTTTGGAAACTTCGAAGTCTTTCAGTTCAATGCTCTTTGCTTCATGAAGTGAAGTTTTTGGTCTGTGACGCAGGCTACATGACACTGTGACGTGACTTGACACTGTGATTTGACGATACACCGTAGTGTCTTTAATCCGCCTTTCTATGAGATATTCGAATCCCATCTCAATCTGTTCTTTTCTATTCTGAATAATGAAAATACAAACTTAAAATACAAATAAGCTGTTTGAAATGTAAAGTCGCAAACAGGCTCGAAAGAACGGAAACATGATATAACGATAAATTAAAACAGTATCAACAAGTTCGATCGAGAGGATATTGTTGCAGCCATAGGCATTGAGCTGTTCTCATAATACAAATTTCTTAAAGGCTCAAGCTTTTTTATAAGAATACTAGAAATATTTTCAGCCTCTATATTCTTGAGAAAGTTCCGATTTGCGCCTGAATACATTCTTGAAGTATTCATTTTTTCAAATCTGATATTGTTCTAGGAGGACATCACCCGCTCTTGAAAAAAGCCATGCATATTGAAAATAAGATAGTGCAGCTCTCTGATTCCATGTTATGCACATCAAAAAACAAGCAACTGCTGAGAAACGAGAAAATCATCGTCAAATAACGCTACGAAAAATTTTAATTCTTTATCTTGGATATACAACCATTTCTGACAGTAATTGCAATTAGAAATACAAAAGGTCACCTTGCATGAAGTTTCATTGTTTAAATAATTAAATCTAGTTGATTTTTGTAGCCAACTTATACAATTTTGACAAGACAAAGATACACGAGGCAGATACTTTTGGTTTACCATATGATTACAATTCGATCATGCACTATCAGAGAACGTCATTTAATAAAAATGGAAAGGACACGATACATGCGAAAAATGATCCTGATTTACGGCTTGGTGGAACTGTATTGAGCAAATGTGACGTCATGAAGCTAAACTTGATGTGTCATTGCCATGGCAAGTATTTTTGCAGTCTCTTTTAAATGTAAATTTCTACTTTAATACGAACGCTTCTTGCCTAAATTCTGTCGCACAATTCATGTTTCCTTTAGAATATTCTGTTATCTTGCCAGATGCTATAAGGCATAAAAATGAAGCAAAATGACTGATGCTATGTAATTTGATTTGCAGAGAAAAGCGGTGAAAGGTGGACTGAGTGGTCCGACTGGTCAAGATGTATACGAAACTATTATGGCTGTTACCGAAGCAAACATCGAATTTGCTTGGTTGAAAACCTGGCTTTATGTCCTGGGGCAGACGAATATGGTGTCCAGTCAAAGCCACAGAATGTCCCTTATCAAGCTACTGTGATGGTACGTCTTAATGATTTCATGATTTATCTTCAATTTAGTAAAGTTTGGTTTAACTTGGACAGAGGATAACAAAGACAGAAGATAAGACGGGAGTAAAGGATATGTTCTTTCAGAAATCTTTGACACGATTCTGAGCGCCTTTTTACAGCTTCTGAGAAACAGTAATTTTTTTTAAGTTGAACCAGTGGATGGATTTTGGGGAAGCTGGTCTTCGTGGTCTGCGTGCTCAAAGTCATGTGATAAAGGGACAAGGACAAGATCTCGCCAGTGCAATTCACCGAGACCTGCAAATGGCGGCAAAAAATGCAAGGGTGCAGTAACAGATACAGAGAAGTGCATGAGACGAACGTGCACGGCTAGTGAGTCACTTTTAACCATTGTATATATGGTCCATTACATTGGTACAACGAAATCAAAATTTGCACTTTTCATGCTACAGTTTTTGAGAGTTGATTATTTTCATAAATTTTGGAACATTTCCTTTATTTTAGATAAGAATTACACAAATTTTGATAATGGCTTTGGAGTTTGGACCAATGTTCAAGGAAGAAATGACCCTTTGAATTGGCAGCGTGGTCGTGGAAAAACATCGCAGTATTCTGGACCGCAATCTGACCATACGGATGGGAATGGTAAACAAGTTTTTACGCTTTATCGTAAACTTTGAATAAATACCATATCAGCATCGCTATAAGCAGGTAGTAAATAGCAGTAGCACCAACTATGCAATGTTGCTTTACCATGCATAACCATAGTACTCTTTTGGGAATGAGAATTTTTCACGCTCCTAAAATATTTGATTTTCGATTTGATTTAGGTTGGTATCTTTATGTCTCAACTGCCAGCTACACAAGTCACAAGAAAAGGGCAGGATTAATAAGTGAATATCTTTCTGGCAAAAAGTGCATATCTCTGGCATATTGCATGCGTGGTAAAAACATGGGAAGGCTTGATTTTTCGTTGCAAACATCGAGTGGACAGTGGTTCAATTTTCCATTTACTAAAAAGGGTCACCAAGGGAATGGTTGGCACCATGCCGAGTTTTCGCTAGTAAATCAAGCGTTCACAAAAACTTCATATCGGGTAATTTTTCTTTCCTTATCTCTGATGTTGTCTAAACCAGTTGTAAAGTTATTAAAATTGAACAGCATTATGTTAAGAAAGATTACAGTTTTCCTTAAAAATCTTAAGCCCTGTATTTTGCATTGACAGTGACCAATTTGCGGGTAATTCTTCTCATATTGGGTAGTTGTCTTTCCTTACCTCTCGTGTTGCTTTAACCAGGTGTAAAATTAAGAGAATTGGTAATTTTCTTTCTATGTTGAGAGCGATAGAATTTCTTAACAACTCTAGTACCCTTTCATCTTATATTAACAGTCATCTTTCTATTATATTAATAAAACATTTTTCCCAACAGTTCTTAATCGAAGCAACTACTGGTATTGGCCCATATTCAGACATTGCCATTGATGACATTCTGATAGAAAACGGTGCATGTGGTGCTGGTCAAGAGAATGTGAACGCCAAAAAGCCTAAACCTGGTGTTGCTGCTGTGATCAGTGAAGGTAAATATGTGAATATATACGACTCTCCACGAACATTGACGACTGTTCCCGAATATACACGAATATACACGACTGTTACCGAATATACACGAAATATATTGGACGGTATTATTAGACAAGAGTCCTAATATTAGACGATATCAAGAAAAATAGATGGTAATAATTATAGATTAACGAAACACAAAATTTTCAGTAGGAGCTAGTTTTAACAACATCATCTACATTGAGAATTTCAATAACTTCAATAAAAGGAAACATTTACATTTACATCCCATTTACTCATTTTTCGAACACATTTACTAAGGAGATCGCTGTACTTAATCACATTGTAAGTCTGTTATCTGAAATTGGCTTTCGATTTTAACAGACGTTGGCGTCAACTAACAAAAAACCAAAGCGTGCATACTGAATTGCTATTGACACTATATCAAGGTCTTGTATACAATGAGGGTGCGTTTAACATCGCGAGATGCTTTATTTAACAACCCCAGTCGCCATATATAAATTTAAGTACTCTCAGATGCAATACAGCAAAAAAACATAAAAGCCCTGATAAACAGTTGCCATCTTATTACTTGAAACCAAAAATCCAAAACCAAAAACCATAACTAATTCTGCAAAAGAAGAGATTTTACAGAGTAACACATGAAAGTTAACCATCTCAGAAAAAAGAAATATTGGTATTTTTGATTGAAATTGATTGCTTTTAGAAAAAAGTTACATCCAATTTAAGCTATTAAATGTCTCTTTATCGTGGTACTTGATAAATTTTCAGAAAATGAAACAGCTCAAATTTTGAAAGACGATGATATGTGTATTATTAAGTTGGCATTAATTTTGCTATTAGGCTGCAAGAATAAAAATAAAAATTGCATTCTATGGGCGAAGTCTGGTGAATGTCATCTGAATCAAGAATACATGCTGAGTCTTGCTGCCTAGCATGTCGGAGTAAGTAATTACAAATATTCATCTGATATCAACAGAATTACAAGGCATGTCAAACAACTGAATTTATTTTGATCTAAGGATGCAGAAAGATAGAAGCCAGTCAAGGAAATAGTTAAAGGGTAGAACATTGATTTATGCTAACAGACAGCTCTGTTGATTCCGTATTCTTAATGACCTATTTTAGAGCCACCTTTGCTGGCATAATAGCTTTAAATGAATCTATAATTAAACTCAACTTATAAGCATGCATGTTCAATTGAAATTTCATATGGCTTAAAGTCTATGTGTTTTTAGTATTAGGCAGTATCTTGGTAACAGCTTGCTGATGCAAACTTTTTCTTTGTCAACGAAGGCATGGGAGAGTGCAAGGATTCTTACAGTGCAACAGGGTGTCCAGAATGGGCAAGTAAAGGAGAATGTGTGAAGAATAACAAATGGATGTGGAAGAACTGCTGTACATCCTGTAAAAGTATGAAAGTTTGATTTCCGGTGCATGAACTTTTTGTGAACAAATACGTTTGAATGAAAAATATGTTATAGGTGTTTCCGTTCAAGCAAACAACTAACACAAGATGAGACTCACCTGAAGCAGGATGGCATAGGTTGTGAATCAATCTTTAATTTAACTAGACTTTATTGTTTGGTCAAGTAGCCCATCAGCCCTTGTATGTCTGCTTTTCTCTCTTAAAGGAGAACTGACACACAAAAATAAGTTTGGCTAAAACGGTAGTTTGTGACAAGCAAATTCCGGGATCGAAACAATTTTTTAAATCACAGTTACCGTTTTTGAAATACAGGCGTTTTAAGTTGAGATGTTCCGATAACTTGAGACTCGAGGCGAAAATCGTCACGAGTGGGCGATCATCTTTGACGTCACAAGTGACATGTTCTCAGCACGCGTTGTTTTTCTCTATAGAAACCTTTAACAAAATGCTGCGGACAAATTTTCATTCTGTGCATGTGAAAGGAGCCAATTTTGCATTTTTGACACATAATTGACTTTTTCAATGGTTTGGGACTCTGAATCGGAGTTTTATTACACTGATTTCGAAACAAATGGAAGGTTTCAGCCGTCTGAGTTTTTGCTACCAACCAGCGCTGCCGCTTGGGTAGACAGTTGTCCCATGGCTCAACAGTGACGATGTTATGAACAAAGAACAGACTGGAGGATCAAACTGATATGGAATTTTTATTAAAAACAATGCTATTGCTACAATCTAAATGAGATCAGGTATCGTAAAACTAGAATTTCATTTCAGATTGAGGCGTATTTGTCCAGACTGGTTTGTCTGTATGGCCTAATTCGCTGAAATGCCTATGATGCCCTAAACGGAACTGCAAGTTATTAATTGTTAATGTAACATTCTATGATTGTTTTTCAATGTTTCAAACGCGTTAACTGTATAGTGATATTGAATAGTAAAGGCGGGTTAAAAGTCGACTTGTGCGTATTTTATGCCATTTTCACCGGGCGTGAAGGGTTTCAGGAACTGATAAGTTACCTGGCAGTCAAAAAATCTGGATTTACGAAATGAGCTCTTAGCTCGTAGTCAAAGAACTTGTTTTTTTAGTCGAAGAAAATGCTGTTTAGCTGTCATAGGAATATCAACTGGCGCATTATATTCTTTTGCAAGCAATTTTGACTTGGGTGGGGGATGGTCTTTTTGCAAGACTAGGTTATTCCCTAGTATCTCAACCTCTGTTAAAATACAATAATCAAGTTCAGTGAAATTATTATTTAGTCACACTCGCAGCTCCCATCAACCAAGGTTTTTTCTTGAATTCATATTTCTGCACCCAAAGCAGGTTGCAGGATCGCTTTTACCACTGTCTCCACTAGATTTCGTTTGTCTTTTGGCTATTGCTTCAACCCCTCCCCCCCCCCCACCCCCATGTTCAATTTTATTTGTAATTATAAAAATAAAAACTTTGAAGAAACGGTATCAGTTTTCAAACAAAGTCGTCTCCTTTTTTCACAAGCTTAGAGGTTCTTTCAATGTTTCAAAAGCATACTGGTTCGTGGCAAAAAAAGCAAGATATCATGGCATGAAAATAAATTTTATGTGGATATTAGCGTCTTAGCAGACATGTAGCTAGGATTCTCTAGCTTCTATATACTTATAAATGAAATGCCTGACAATTTTTTGTCTTTTCATCGTGGATTATTTTCAATAAAACACGAAACTTAATTTGTACTTTCATCGTTACAAACTTCATTTGTACTTTCAATAAAAATCTACACTACAAGCACAAACAATACAAAAAATTGGTCCCAGAATAAAATTAGTGTGGGAAATCTTAATCTCAGCTCAAATTGTTGTAAGATAAGGGTGGTGTCCAAAAGGAGCCCATAACTTGAATTGCTCTTACTGCCTGTTCCTGGGGTGTTCAGTCTTTTAAAAACGATGGTTTCCACCCATAAATGAACAAGAACTGGAGAGAAGTTAAAACCTTTCAATACACTTCTTGTAACTCAACAAGCACCAAGGAGCACACTTAATATAGAGAACTGCCAAAAGACTGGTTGACTACAGCCTGTCAGACTTAAAGCTGACAAGTGGCAAAACATGCTGCACATAGTTTAAGAAGGGTGCTTGTTGAAAACGTTCAAGAATAAATCAAATTTGAAAACTATTGTTTATTATGAGCAAAACGGTGTGGTTAATATAAAATTGAGGACAAAACTGTTAGCAACTTTTTCAAGAATAAAGCAACATGTAGTATTTTAAACTTTAACAATTTTCAAAGAGATTTGCTTTCCTTAATTAAGGTTTTAACTTTATGTAATTTTATTGTTTCATTAGAACAAGGCAAGCTGTAGAACATAATTTTGACAAAAACAAACATTTGAGTGTGTGATTAATCTTGTTCTTTGGAGTTGCAGGCACATGTGATTTTGCAAGCACATGGTTGCATGCCATTCACAGCGTACTATGACCCCCTTATGGTTTTTCAAAGCTTGACATAACCCTTAAGTATCAAAGCTTTCTACATCATTGAATGTTAAATAAAAACAAGTTATTTTGGAATGAAGAAAAAGGGGTGAAAAAATTCATGATAGACATTTTATCAGAAGATGGGAACATTTCCTTGAACAATTTCAAACCCCCGGTGAAAAATCTTGCAGGATCCTACAGGATCCTGTGGGATCCTAAGAGGATCCTAGATTTTTAGGATCCTGGACAAGATCCTACCAAAAATCCTGCAAGATCCTGTGTGCATAGGATCTGATGCAAGATCCTACATAAGGATCCTGTAAGACAAACACAACTTAAGATCTTACACAGGATCCTACCAAAAATCTTACAGGATTTTAAAACAGGATCTTGAATGGGATTTTGCTAGGATCCAGAATGACATTGTAAGATCTTACAAGAACTAGATTAGGATCTTAAATTAGGATACTAGATTAGGAGATTAAGACAATTCCAAGATCCTATTGGATTGTGACATGGATCCTGTCAGGATCTTGAATATAAAGATAGGATCCTGTACAAAGTCAAACAGGATCCTGTTACATTCTGACCAGGATCCTTCCAGCATCTTCAATCCTAAATGTTTAGGATCCTATACAAGATCTTACATAAGGATCCTGTAGGAGATAAACAACTGAAGATCTTACACAGGATCCTACCAAAAATCTTACAGAATTCTAAAACAGGATCTTGAATAGGATCTTGCTAGGATCCATAGTGACATTGCAGGATCTTAAAAGAACTAGATTAGGATCTTACACATAACGATTCCAAGATCCTATTTGATTGTGACATGGATCCTGCCAGGATCTTGAATATAACGATAGGATCCTGTAGAATCTTAAAGAGGATCCTGTTACATTCTGACCAGGATCCTACCAACATCTTGAATCCTAAGCGGTGGTGTAGTGGTATCAAAATAACAAGGGGGGCTCTTGCACAAAAAGTTGCAAAAAACAATAGAAAAATATAAATTTGCCATGTTTTTGGCATTAACAAGGGGGCTCAGCCCCTAGCACTACACCCCTGATCCTAAGTGTATATCAATCGATTTCGTGGAATTTTGATGCAGCAAAGCGCAAGAAAAACAAAATATATGATCACATCAATCTCTGATGTATATAAATACCACACCCTTTAGTTTAGCTTTTTCAAATACATTTCAGAATTATTTCTTCATGTCACTTTCATGTATTGGCTTAAATCGATTAACTATTTTTAGGCATACTCTTTTTAAGTTGAATTAATTCCATTTTTAAAATGGAACTTATTACTTTATGTGGCCCCTTAGATGCTAGACATTGATTCTCTGTTGCAGTTTGCCCCCTCTTCCCAGAGGCGTCGGCATAGGGGGGTACGGTGTGGGTGTGGTATCCCAACAATTTGTTGGTCGGCACAGTAAGGATTTTTGCTGGGCACTCGCTCTGCAACCTTTTTGCAACATTTCTGTGTAGTTGAACTATCAAAGTATGGCACTAGAGTATAAACTTTGAAACAGAAAGGAATAAAAGCAGCATGCAAGAGTATTTATCTTTTGACCACACCCTTAAAGAATGAAACGCGCCCTTTTTTGTCGGCAAAAATCGCCTCTTCATCCCTCTAAACAATTTTCTTGGCTACACTCCTGCCTCTTCCCCAACTCTTGGGGGCCCTGGGCATGTTCAGGCTATCAATTTTCTTTTTAAGGTTCAAAAAGTTTGAAGTTTATCTAAAAGGCATAAAATTCGTCCGCCATAATTAAAGCATCAGTTTTATAACGGAGCAGCTTTCCATTTTAGCACTGCACAAAACCGTTTTGTCATTGCACAAATTGGTTATCATTGCACCCCAAATTAGATATGCTGTCGGGTAAATATGGTTATAGAAAACGATGTTGAACTGGAAAGAATATTTTTCAAATAACTTGTTTTCGACTTATTCAAAATCAGGGACTTTCAAGGGGTGATCGTGCTGTAACCGGTGTTCTGGTAGGTACGGGGATTCATAAACTGCGATAACCATCGCTAATGAAGTGAATTGTCGCATGCCTTTTTTACCAACCAATCAGAGGACACTTGGCAGTCCAGCGGGTCACATTTTGAACGAGACAATCTGTTGGTGGAAAACAGAAGAAAGACTTGCAAAATGCGACCCGCTGTAAAATGCGACCAGAGATGCAAAATGCTGAACATCTGTCAGGCGCTTTTTCCAAAAAGTCAAGATTGAAAGCAAAAGAATCGAGAAGAATGGATCCAGCCCAGCAGGTAAATGAATATTCTTCTTTGGTACTGTGCTAGACCAAAGATTATTTTAAAAAAATTAGAGTCTGACCTAAAACTGCTGCTAGAACATGTAAAGGCCAAGAAGGCTAATTTCAGGAAACACTTTAAATGAGTAGATTTTGTGTGAACCTTGAAAATTGCACTTTAAAATTTCAAATTGCTCAAAAACTGTTTCAAACCGCCAACAGCCAATTTGCTACAAAGTTTAGAAATCTTTGTATCGTTTTAAATGTTCTTAGTGGGCCAAGTTTTTACATCACAAAAGCTAACATGCGCATTTTTCATAAGAAACTAAGCAAACTACCAGTTAAAATTTTCTTAACTTTATGAATGAATTTATTATTGAAAGTTTGCTTCAATACCAAGAACTAAAAAGCTACTTTATGGGAAAAAACACAAACAAACGCAACAGAATATCAAACGTAACAAACACCTAATCAGTTGTAAGGAGTTATATTCTTTTTATTATCTATGAAAATTTAACCACAAATAGGTTTCTTATCGACTAAAAGAACTAAATTTCGAGCAGCTTCTTAAAGTTGGGGGTGATAAATACTATTTTTTAATTTTTTGGCCATCTTTGGGCTCGTTCTTATGGAAAATCTGTAAAAAACTACTAAAAAAATGCTATTCAGAGAATCATTTTCTGGCGCCTCATTAGTTTCATGACGCACATCCAAGAGGCTTTCTCTTTTAAAATAAAGAGCTGGCACAAATCTTTCAACCCACTGCCAAAATTGGGGCTGTTCCAAATGCCGACAAGCTAAATTCCACTCAATTATCTAGATGACACCCCATTACTAGAAATCACATTGAATTCCAATTTGTTTTGTTTCTGTCAAACAATCGGTTGCAAGGAAATGGTTGCAGTCTTCTTGAAAGGCTTGATAGCGCAGACCCAGGTCATAAATACTTATAAGCAAATGCCACCATGCTACTTTTAATATGATCGTGCATTTCATAAATAATTCAGGCGCAGTGAGAGTCAAAATTCGTATTAGGAGGTTGTCGATAGACAATATTTCCTTAAAATCTCGACAGAGTAGCAAAATTTCGTACACATTTTCCAACAATGAGATGCTTTAGGGGGGCTGTAGCTTCCCTGACTTCAAGGAAAATGCTTTACACAAATGTCATAACGTTTTCAGCTTATCTCAAACAAATATTAGCTCTCTCCTATATGAAAAAAGCGTTTAGAACATCTACTTCATAAAAGACTGTAACTGAAAGTCTCAGTCCTCCAGGTTATGATAATTTTGTTGATAAAAAGGGGATTCTGACTTTTTTGTCTGTAAAAACGATTTTTTGTAGTTTACAAAAGAAAACAAACAAGTAATGTTCTGTGGAGATTTCAACCTTGGATTGTCAAGGTACGAAGATCTACCTCCTGGTCCCGGCAAGATATACAATTATAGCGATTTTAAAATATTTTTGGTTATGGCATGATTTGTCTTCAATCTACTATTTCCTTTGGCTAAAAGATTTTACGATTTTTGCAAGAAAGTCACATCTTTGGCCATAATACCAAGAGGTTGCGAAAAGCAACATTTGTTGATGTTAAGAATCAGTTGATGATGTTAATAAACTGAAATCGGTTCATAAAGTGTTCTACCATACTATGATTGAAGACAAAATAGTAGATTGAAGACAAATCATGCCATAACCGAAAATATTTTAAAATCGCTATAATTGTATATCTTGACGGGACCAGGTATAGCGGTACATTATTATATTCAAAATATATAGGATTATAGTAGGGATAATACTGTAATGAAGTTCATAAATGCAAATAAAAGTTTGTCTGCCATGTAAACATGCAAAAACAAGAGTTCAGTGGCCCCCTTTGGTCCGTTGCACCATCCTTTCTTGCACTTGATGGAAAGAGGGCATGGCCATGCAAAACAGTCACCCTTCTGCGAGATTTTCATCGTAAGACATTTCAAGACTTAATTTTACAATGTAAGATTAAAACCAATTTCAAATCCTTATGATTCATCTGGAACCTTCTATTTTTGAAATTTT